AGGAGGAGAAGGGGAAGGGGGGGAGAGAAAGAAAGAGGGATTGAGAGTTGAGATGTCACGGTGTGAGATATTTGCTAGTGAGATAGATTTTGAAGATTTGATATTGATACTAATACTGATATTATATAAAACTAAATTTAACTATACTACTAGTAAACGATAACTACTATAGTATCTAAAAATAAGTAGTACTATAAGATATATAACAGATATAACAGAACAGAACAGATAAATAAATAATTATAGTTATACAATTATACAACTTGAATATACAGTATAGTAATAGAATTTCGTATTACTCGAATAAGTTTACTATTTACTATCACTATTTACTATTACTACTGACTAGTAACTACTGACTACTGACTACTAACTACTCACTCATATAGAATTGGACTCCGGACTCTGGACTCTAGATTCTGGATACTGAATTGTGAACTCTCAACTCTCAACTCTCAACTCTCAACTCTCAACTCTCAACTCTCAACTCTCAACTCTGAACTCTGGACTCTGGACACTAGACACTAAACTCTAGACTCTAGATTCTGACCCATATGAAATTTGATATGAAATTTGATAAGAAATTTGATCTCAGAATGAATACCAATGATTACCAATTTGACATGTGAGAAGTACATTTAAGGATAGTTAGTGTATCTATCATACATACTGTATCATACTGCATAATATGAGAAACTGGGTGATACTTAGATAATCTGTTAACCCATTATCCAATACTATTAGAATAATTGTAATTTTACAAAATACAAAAGAAATGTACATTAACTATTTCCCCTTCCCCTCTCCCCCCCAAAGCTTGATACAGTAGTAAGCCTCAAAATTATACAAGAAATGCTACACAATAAAATATACATGAAATGAAATGAAGCCATCCACTGCACTTACACTACTCGGTCAATGCTCCGGGTATAAGAAGGTCAAAAATACATCAATTAACAAAACTCCTCAAGCCAACCCCAACCACTTAAGCGCCTTCCTCGAATTCCCTTTGATAGCCCTCGACTCTATCTCTTCCCTCCCAGCACCAAATTTTGTGTTAGGAAACATGCTCCTCTTCGCTCCAATCGGCGAATACCTTCCCATAACCATGCGATCATACGCATCATCCTCGCTATCCTCTTCTGCTTCGAATTCTAAATCTTCGAATTCTAGACTTCCAGAAGAAGTATTGGAATGGACGCGGTCGAGGTAAGGGGGTGTGAGGGACCTTTTATTACGATATTCATATGTGTAGTCCGAGTCTTGTTCTTGTTCTCGATTCTGATTTTGTTTATCTGGAAATGGCTCATCATATGATGGAGTGAAGTCCTGAGGCATAGGCTGTCGTTCGATAGCGATAGGAATATGGCGGATAGTTGAGCTGCTTAAACTGTGTGAGGAGCTGGGCACAGAAGTATGTGGTGGTGGTAATGAATGACCGGTTATACGGCTAAGCATTGGAAAGGGGGATAGACGTGTAGGCGAGCGTAGTACTTCGATTTCTGATGATTCACTATCGTACAAAGAGGATGGAAATCTGAAGGAATCTTGTTCGACAATCAATGGTGACAAATCCGTATTGAAATTCGCGAACAAAAGCTCATCAGTGGATGTGGATGCATCTTTCATGAAGATCGTTTGGTTTGGTATCGGGGAGGGTTGTAGGGGGACTTGTTCAATATTGTACCACGATAATCTTTCGACTATATTTTTGCGGATTAATGTCACGAAGTTCTGAATTTCGGAGGCCGAGGCAGTAGATGGTAAGTGGTAGTCTGCTTTGAAAAATAGGGAGAATGAGGCCGAGGATCGATTCAGTTTTGTTTCTGCATCGTCGCTTCTAAAAGCATCGAGAGTCGATATGAGAGGATATCGCTGCGAACGTACCGGACATTCAGGACTGGTAGCGGCAGTATCATTGTATGAATGGTGTGAAGAATGGCATTGAGGAGAAGGAGATTTAAGAAACGAAGGAGGATCTGAAGAAAGGGTATCTAAAACTCCAGCAACTTTGACAAGATCTGAACCTAGAAGGCTGCGAAGAGCAATGACCGTCGCAATTTGGTCAAACGGAAAGCTGAGAACGAGGAATCGGACTAGGGAATTGGTAGCAAGGTATATTTCGAGATGCGGGACGATCAGGTTCGCGAGTAATCTTGGGTCGGTTAAGGGGTTTAAGTCTTTGCGAGAAAGAAATGGTTGAGACATGAAAGTTTGCATGGCACTTGCGATCAAGAATCTAATCAATGTTAGTTGATAGAAAAACACAAAAGTGAATGACCAAATACCTGAGGTCAAGTCGGCCACTTCGACTCTCACCACTCTCTTTAACACCAATGTTTTCGACTTGCCTAAGAAGTTGAGTGCAGAAAACATCACTTATTCCCTTTTCACACCCGACTGCGATGATTTGATCAACGGCAGGTCCCTCGTCAAAGCTTGAACTTACATTGCTGAACATATGTTTCCAGAATGCACCTGACTCGGGCACTAGAGAATTTTGGTATTGATCAAGTGCTGTTGCCTCTTCAGGAAAGCGAAAATTCAAAAAAGAGCGGAATTTGTTTTGAACGTCAATTGACTTATTAGTGTATGCACCAGAAAATTCGCAGAACTTTTCGACTGTGCCTTTTTGAATAGGGAACGTAGTTCTCTCTCGCGATAGTAAAAGTCCATTAGTCGCAGCATCAACACTTTCCGATGCCCTCCGTCGCTTCATCTCTTCCTCGACAGGCGATCCGCTAAAATAGAATGGATCAACGTGAGCACGTTTCTGGTAGTCCCGGCGAGTTTTATACTTCCCTTGGTCTAGGCCTAATCTTGGATTGGGATATTCATCGGCCGCTGTGCCAGGAGGGGTCGGTAGCGGGCGTGGTAAAATTGATGGGGAGATTGGAAAATTGCCGCTTTTATACTCTGATATTGATCGCATGATCTCCCTTGGCGAATTATCCGTAAAATGTATGATTAGATCCTCAGTGATATCAAACACCGACTCGATCGAGTCGAAATCCTCCTCAACCTCAGTACTACACTCCTTGAGTATGCGAGGTACACCCCTTGAGCCTGAGCCTGTCGAACTTCCCGAAATCGGAGTGCTTGGAATGGAAGACCTCTTTATGGTAGTTTTCGACGCCTTTACAAACGCTGCCTTGGGCAATCGCTCAAAAGGCAAATCCATAATCGACATATTGAACGAATCCCTGAGATTATTCGTTGATGCTGCATGTTTGAAGCTATTTGAACTTTTGGTATTGTCATCTAGCAACAGATCTCCAACAGACTTCGTCCACCTCATAGACGTCGTCGGTGTTGGTAAAGCAGATTGCATATCCACAACACATGCTTCACCATAGACAACTTGGGGTGCAGGAAATAAGTTCTCATCATCTTGTGAGATGTATTCGAAAAAATCCTCATCTTCATCAATGTCTGTATTTTGTTGCGTTGAATACCTGCTTCTCGGTGCGGTAAAGTATGGCCTCGAACTTGATAGTGGTTGAGGGCCGAACGTACCACTGTACTGACTAGTTGGCCGTGACCGATTATCTATTCTATTGATTCGACTAACTGGCCTTGGATCGGAAGGTATTGACAAGACCGTTGTCACGATGGCGTTTGCTTGCTGGGAGTCCCAAGCCGATGATTCTGATGTGACTGACCGAGATTCTCCAGGGATACGTATAATTTGAAGTCCACTACCATCCCTGCTTCTCAATTTTTGAGCTCTGAGTATTCCATTTTCGTCAATATTTACCTCCTGTTCTGACTGGTCTTCGACACTCAATGTCGTTGCGCTCTTTGTATTCCTTAAATCCAGCTTCTTGGGTAATTTTGTGCGAGGTCTAATTGTTGCTCGTGCTGGCTGCGAAAAAGGAATGGGTTTCGGAGACTTAGTATCCTTAAAAAGACCTGCTAATCCATCCTTGACAATATCATGGAATATCGTCTCGGCTTCTGCGAAATTCCCATATGTGAGTCGTTGGGATATGGTTGCAACGCATATTGCTCGCGCACTAATACTGCCGCCGTTCAAAAACACCAATCTTGCTTGAGATGATGATCGTAGAAACGTCCTCGCTACTTCGTTTCGTTGCGCGAGAGCGATATGAACATCGCGGACAAATGTCCGAGCCTCAAATGGTTCTCCTTTGTGGTCTGTACTCAAAAAATAATCAAGCGGTGGGACGACGAGGATCATGTGCGAGTGTGGAAGGAGTCGTAGCTGAGTTGTGATAGTATTTATGTTTCCCTCAAACGCAACCAGTTTCCCAATACCTTGAGTCTCGTTTGAAATTATCGGTGCCATTCTGAGGACCGAGTTATAGGACTTGAGACTGATTTTTCGTTCCTTGATACGCTTTGCCACTCATTCATGAAATCTGAAGCATAAAACAGTGCTGGGCGAAACAAACAAGAATTGTATGAGTTTTCCACAGATGACAATAGAGATGGGAATAGAGCTGAACACATAGAAGTGGTAGGAAAGTCCTTGAAAGTAAGGATATCAGGTATTGGAGCTTCCTACCACTGCAGATATTTGAAGACGGAAGAACATTTCACCAAGACGTGTAAGGAAGTGTAAGTGTAAGTGTAAGAGTCCGGCGTTTTGATGGCGTAAAGTAAGTGGTACCGAAGAGGTTCATTTTCGTATAGATCTCAGCCAGGATGTAAATTAACAAGGTTCGAATTCTGGATGCGCATTGACTAATCAGTATACCAGTGAGATACTGAGTACTCGAGTTCAACTTGTAGATCGATTTCTCATAAATTCACTAGCAATCGGATCGACACAAAACTATGGCTAGCTTGGACGAACCGCATCGGTGGGACTTGAAAGTATGAAATCTTTGGATTTTAATCCGGCGGTAGATGTAATCTTACCAGTTGTAGTGGATCACATCACAGTATAAGTTCCCAGTGTTGAGGTTATTGATGAAAGTTATCAATTTCAATTGAACCTGAGAAGAGTGAAAGCGGTGAATTAACTACACTGAGGTATTTCGGTCGTGCGTATTAATAAGAGACAACTAATAAGATGTCCGAGTACTTTTAGCTCAATTAGGAGAAGGTTCTCCCTAGTATGATCAAAATCGACCGACCGAATTGGGGAAGGGTTCTAGTCTCACATCAGTTCTATTGGTTTGATTTGCAACAATAGAACGGAAGCTGGGAAAGAAGGGGTAGGGATTGTAAATCTGGAGTAAACCCATCTAGCTGCACATCATGATGCAGGGGTACAGAAAAACGAAAACCTTTGAATGATATAAATAAATCTTGAACGTTTGTCGCGAAAGGGTCGTAATCTTACAATAGTAGCATAAAGTTTTGGAGTGGATCATGTTGAAAGACTATAAGCCAGCTGTGCAATTTTGATAATGAAGAGCTCAACGTGAGGATAGTTGAAGGCTCAAGTAGCGAGCTACATTATTTTGTCTCCTCTTGAATGGCATCTTGCATAACTAGTATGTGCATAAAAATTCGAGAACGAATGGGTCAATGGGGTTTATTCGACCTATCCATGCGGCATTCAGTCCTCGTCAGAGTCCAGTAGGTCCGCCAACTCTGCTTCTTCTTCTGCAGTCATGAGGCCCTTTTTAGGCTCGACCTTTTCTTCTTTCACAACCCCTTTAGCCTTTTCTTCGCTTTCAAAACGTGCTTCTTCGAGCTCCTTTTTGCCGAGTCCCCAAATTCTCACGGTTCCGTCGATGCTGATACTAATGACCTGCTTTTCATCTTGAAGGATTGCCAGACCTGTCACTTCCTCATAATGCCCGTCATAAACATGCCATAGTTTGCCAGTGGCCTTATCCCAAACCTTCACATCTTCATCCCTACCTGCGGTCACAACCCAAGTATCGGTGACAGCTACAGCGCGAACATAATCTCCATGTCCGTATGTCTCTTCTGCGCTCCAACGCTTCGCTCTCGATAAACATTTGGCTGTACCATCCGCACTTGCAGTCCATAGATCCGTTTCTTCTTCATCGCCAGCAAATAAGACTTGGTAGACACTTGTTTCGTGCTCAAGAATTGTATCCCTAATAGAGTTCGTCTGTGCCGGAATATCTTCAGTAGTATCAAGTATTTGAGACGCAGTTGATAGACTAATGCGCCATCTTCGGATATGAGGGTCGCTACTCGAGGAAACGAGAACAATTTCGGTATTCGTAGAATCTTCAGGATCTAGAGCGAGGTCTTGTACTGCCATCATGGATTCACTCTTATCTCGAAGAGTATGCAATCGTTCACCAGTAGTGATACTCCACACCATGATTTTGGCATCGGCACCACCAGATATTAGGCACTTGAAAAGGTGTCAGTAGGGCGACCTAGACATACCCAATGAGGCAGAGCTTACATCTGTTCCCTCAATGTTTACGCAGATAATAGCTTTGACAAAGTCAGAGTGGCCTTTGAATTTCTTGCCGAGGACTCTGCTTTCCCTGTCCCAACTCCAAATTTGTTTGTCCCAACATCCCGCGAAGACTGTATCACCACTATGACCTCCGATAGCTACTGAAGTAACCGGCGCAGTTGGACCTCTATAAAGTGTTCTTGTATCTCTAGTCTAGGAGAATACTGTTAGACGACATCTAAGCCACGGCACAAACTTAGATAACTATCGTACCTACTTCGATATTGACCTTTCGTACGCAGCCAGCACTCTCCGCGAGATAAACACACTGCGAGGAAAATGGGTCTAGAACCAAGCTCAGAATCTTTGACTGTAAAATGATAGGGTTTCCATTTTTGTTGCCCGATTTTGCAGCCCTGCGGGCTCGTGTAGACTCGGATGCATCAGTCTGAAAGAAGTGACCTGGATCTGTTGATCGAGACATAATTAATTTAATGTACCGTAACGTAATCGAGGGGTTTATATGTAGCAGACATACCTAGTGGGGGTTATCGTCACATAAGGCAATTAGATTTCAGGGGAGCGACGCGTAAAGTGGAATTCGCGCCGACACGCGATTTCCTTATCCAAGTCGCGTATTCTATCTACAATCTTCATAGTGTTCAATTGTCCGAAAAATATGCTGCCAACAACAACTAAATTGCCATGGCTTCCACAACTCAAATAAATCTGCGACCCAGACCGGCTCACACTTCCGGGCCAACCTATCTATCGTATACCCCAGATGGCACAAAATTGGTCACAGTCGGTTCAAATAACACAACTCGAGTGTACAAGACTGGATCCGATGGAGAACCTACGAACATTGATGATTGCCAAGAGCAGAATATGGGGGTTGATTCTACAGTAGGATTCTAATTATTTGCGAAGAACAATATGCTGACTATGTTCCAAGAATGACTTCTTCGTAGCAGGTTCCGAAGATGGAACTGTCAGCAAATATTCTCTTGATACAATGTCATTCGACAAATTCCTTATGCGCTGTTCGTTACCAGTTCGAGATATTGCGATATCCCCGAATGGCAAATGGTGTGCCGTTGCCAGCGACGAGCTCACCGTCAAAATCGTGAACACGAACGATGTAAACCATATGATGTACCTCCGAGACCAGCAGAAGCCTGTGAAGCATTTGTCGTTCGACCCAAGCAACAAATTCATAACTCTGTCGTGTACGGATGGTATGATATACGTTTATTCGCTGTTGAACGAGGATCCGGAACTTGTGAGGACGATTGATGGAATGATTAGAGCTGTTGAGACGGATGATGAGATTAGCTCGAAAGTCGCATGGCACCCTGATGGTAGAGCATTCGCTGCACCAACTTCTACAAGAGACATTCAAGTCATGTCTAGGAGTGATTGGGAGAAACAGCGTGTTTTCGCAGATGGCCATACAGGAGATATCACGGCATTGGCGTGGTCACCAAACGGAGCAATGCTTGCATCGGCTGGTAAAGATAGGAAGATTTTACTTTGGGAGACCAAGACACAAAAGATCATTTCGACTTATGACCATGCAAATGTGATGGATTTGGCCTGGCATCCTACCGACAACTTGCTTTCTTTCACGAATTCGGATGGAGAAGTCTATATCTTCCAAGATTTTGTACCCAATGAGCATGCTCACCTAGTCAAACTGGGACGGCAACCAGCCCCTTTCATCCATGACCCGTTATCGGAAATTTCAAATAATGCACGACGACCAGCCACAAATGGCACGAAAGATATGCCCGTTCGAGGCGCCCGGCGTGGCTCACCTGACAGCTTGGATGATATTCTTGGCTCTGATATCATGGAAGATGAGGATGACTTTGTTATTGATGACGATGGCGCTGGGTATGCACTCGGAATCAATGGCAATGGCAAGAGACCTGCAGACGATCTGGAGCCCTATGGGGGCCCCAGGACTAAGAGACAAGCGCAGGCATGGGAGCCACAATATCATGAATCTTTCCAGCCAGGTAGCACTCCTTGGCGCGGAGACAGAAAGTACCTTTGCCTCAATCTGATTGGGTTTGTATGGACGATCCAGCAGGGTGATTATCATCAAGTCACGGCAGAATTCTACGACCGTGAAACATATCGCGATTTCCACTTTACAGACCATTTATTGTATGATAAGGCCTGTCTCAACGAAAATGGCTCTCTTTATTCTTGTCCTTCCAGCCCCCACCATTCAGCCACCATATTATACCGCCCTCATGAATCATGGACAAGTGGCACAAACCGTGTAGAGTGGCAGACAGAGCTACCTAAGGGCGAGGAAGTTAGTGCCATCGCACTTAGCGAATCTTTTGTCACAGTCACTACTACAGCGAATTACGTTCGCATATACACACTTTTTGGAATACCGTTCAGGGTGTATAGACAGAAAAGTGGCCCCACTGTTACATGTGCGAGTTGGAGAGATTATGTCCTTACTTTGGGAAATGGTCCCGTGGGTGCGGATGGTAATACAAAATTGTTGTATACAATACAAAACATTAAAAGGGATGAAATTTGCCAGAACGAAGATGTGGTAGCTTTACCAGATGGCGAAACAGTGAAAAGCGTCTTCTTTTCAGACAATGGAGTAAGTCATCCCGAATCGGGACTTTTGTTTACTCAACTGACTTGAGCGCTTAGGACCCGTGCATTTACGACTCTACCGGAACACTCCTGACTCTTATCCACTGGCGCGAGCTATTGCAGGCAAGTTGGGTCCCTCTTCTTGATACCAGACTTCTCTCTCGTCTCGCAAGTGGGCGTAAAACAGAGACATATTTCCCAGTGGCGGTGTCAGACAACAAATTTCACTGCATCATCTTGAAAGGTGGTGATAAATACCCCTATTTTCCTCGTCCTCTGCTCTCCGAGTTTGATTTCGAAATACCTATTTCCTCACAGCCGAAGCCTGCCGGCAGGCATGACGACGACGACGAAACTTCGGGCGGAGACGAAATGAAGAAATTAGAAGGGGAATTTGTCCTGAAGAGTATTCTTTCAACACTGAAGTCGGATCTTGTCAAGTCTACCGCAAGCACACAGACAGAACGAACAGAGTTGTCAATGATGGATGTCGAGATTGATAAAACCCTGTTGAGGATGATGATGGCAGAATGTATTGAAGGCGAGGAAAGAGGTATGAGAGCATTAGAGATGGTGCAGTTAATGAAGGATAGGACAGGAAGAATGATTGAGGCAGCGGGTAAAATAGCAGACAAATACGATAGGGTGATATTAGGAGAGAAAATAAGGGAATTGGGCGAAGACAGGTTGTTGGAGATGGATGAGGACTGAATGACTAATGGTTTTATAAATGTATCATGAGATGATGTTGTATAAATTGTCGGGCACGGAATGGGTATTCAGGAGGAACCCTTATGAATATATGCATTTTTGATATCCCTTTGAGAAGAAGTAACAGGTAATATCAGAACTCGTTTTAGAATTACAGGCGGTAAATGGGCCAGACTTCAAGAGATTCTCAAGTACTTTGATACCTTTGGACTAGACCATATAAAAGCCAGTTCAACAAAGGGGACAGCATCCGTAATAACACTTTCACTACTCGTATTCCGTATAATCCTATTTCAATACTACAGTATGAAAACCCTAAGGTGGAGGATTATGTGAGGAAGTGGGAACTGAGAAACGCAATGCCAACAACAGATGGGGTTGATTATTAATATGCTGGTGATATGGTTGGTAATTCATAGCAAAGCATGAATGAGTGAGGGAAAATTTAATCTCTCGAAAATGAATAGAAACGGACCCAAGTAGGTACGTTAAGTAAAGGAGAGTATTTTTGAATAAGTCGTGATATTCATTTAATACTGGATTAATTAACACATCAACACATTATATGACAGATTGGAGATGAATTACGTACCTGTGGCGTTCAGTCAATAAAGCCACACAACCTTGGAATTATGTAGAGTATGTGGCTAAAAAGTAGCTGTAGCAGGTTCTTTTCGCATTGGTGCATTACCTTGGTAAATTATAGAGAATGAAGTGAACCCAGGAAGAGTAAATAAAATCTGTTTCCAACCCTCCCCTCCCAAGATAGCTACGAATTTACCTGCTAGCTATTGGATTTTGATATCCCAGAAGAGCCTTCCTGCAACTTAAACCTTATTATTTTATTTAGATATTACATCCACATCCCAGTTTGTTTCTGTGTTTTGTCAAAATCAGATACCATATATCTTTTTGTCTTGTGGTCGTCAACATCGACGCGCGACCTCTCAAAAATCTTAGCTTCGACATCTTTCCCCTCCAGGCACATCTTGGTTACCCCTCAATAACAACACAATGGCTGCTCTTGGTGAGGATTTGCTTGGGATAGTTAACAAGCTGCAAGACCTTGTCTTCAATACTATCGGCAATGATAGCTTGGATCTGCCACAGATTGTACAGTACTCTTCTCAACGAGGTACGAAACTTGGCACTGATGTAATCTTTAGGTAGTCGTTGGCTCCCAATCGTCCGGAAAATCCTCTGTACTCGAGAATATTGTCGGTCGAGATTTCCTTCCCCGTGGCAGTGGAATCGTTACCCGCAGGCCTCTTATTCTGCAACTCATCAATGTACCATCAGAGGAAGGAGATGCATTCGAAGCGCATTCAGCAGCGAGTGTAGCTTCACAACCAGAATGGGCCGAGTTTCATCACATCCCCAATCGGAGATTTACAGAATTTCAAGATGTGAAGAGGGAAATCGAGAATGAAACGGCGAGAATAGCAGGAAACAATAAGGGAATCAACAGATCACCCATCAACCTCAAGATTTACTCGCCGCACGTTTTGAGCTTGACATTGGTAGATCTACCAGGTCTAACGAAGGTACAGTATTATCATTCTTTGTACTGGAGGAAGATAGGGTTTTAACTGTTTGCAGGTTCCTATCGGAGATCAACCCACAGATATCGAAAAGCAGACCCGAAATCTGATATCAGAATACATTGCGAAGCCAAACAGTATCATCTTGGCTGTATCCCCGGCAAACGTCGATATTGTGAACTCGGAGGCACTAAAACTTGCCAGACATGTAGATCCTCTCGGCCGAAGAACTATTGGAGTGCTCACGAAGATAGACCTTATGGACCATGGTACAAATGCTATGGACATTCTGTCCGGTAGAGTCTACCCCCTTAAGCTGGGATTCATCGGTGTCGTCAATCGGTCTCAACAAGATATCCAAGGCAACAAATCCCTCTCCGAGGCATTGAAGTCAGAAGCGGACTTTTTCAAACACCACCCTGCATATAGAAATATGGCAACCCGATGCGGAACCCAATTCCTGGCGAAGAGTCTTAACACTACTTTGATGGCACATATCCGAGAAAGATTACCTGATATTAAGGCTCGGTTGAATACTCTCATGGGACAAACGCAACAAGAGCTTGCTAGTTATGGAGATATGCACTTCAGCGGCAAGGAGCATAAAGGAGCATTGATTTTGCAATTGATGACCAGATTCGCATCTTCTTTTATCGCATCCATCGATGGTACCTCGACCGAAATCTCGACCAAGGAGTTATGTGGAGGAGCCAGAATTTACTATATCTTCAACTCTGTATTTGGAAATTCATTAGAGACTATAGATCCAACCACAAATTTGTCCGCGTTAGATATTCGAACAGCCATCCGAAACTCGACCGGTCCACGACCCAGTCTATTTGTACCCGAGCTCGCATTCGATCTTTTGGTCAAGCCACAGATCAAGTTGCTGGAAGTTCCCAGTCAAAGATGCGTGGAACTCGTCTACGAAGAACTCATCAAGATATGCCACACATGTGGCTCAACTGAACTCACGAGATTTCCTAGACTCCAGACTAAACTTATCGAGGTTGTTTCTGACCTGTTGCGAGAGCGCCTTGGCCCGGCATCCCAATATGTGGAATCTCTTATCTCCATTCAAAGGGCTTATATCAACACAAACCATCCAAATTTCTTGGGCGCAGCTGCCGCCATGAGTAATGTCGTCTCCAACAAACAAGACAAGGAGAGAAAGAAACTGATGCAAGAAGAAAAGGAAAGAAAAGAGCACAGGCGCCGAAAAGAACTCGAAGCTGTGAATGGAGGTGAAACGCCAGAAGAAGGAGAAGATGCTGTTCCGGAGAAGCTTGAAAACTTACCACATCGAAAACACCTTCAGAAAAATTCTCGAAGCATGTCGCCTGCAATCCGCGAAAACGGTACAAGCGCCATGGTGTCATCAGTGAACGGGCTGCGTGGAGGATCACCTCCTAGGTTTAACGGTCAAGCGGCTGGTGGTGCCCGCGATTCGTTCTTGAATTACTTCTTTAGCAAAGAGGGCGGTTTACCAGGTGGACCAGGCGTCTCACAGTCAAGTTCATCTGCACAAATGATGGGAAATCCCAACCTTAGCAGACACGTGAGCCAAAGCGCAGAACCAAGTATCTCGCAAAGTATCAGGCGGCAGGAAGAACGCCCTGTACAGAGAACACCGGCCCAACAAGCTCGTGAAGACGACTACGAACTTGGCCGCGCACAGAGAGATTATAATTATGATTCCCCATTCGTAAGTTCCCCATCCCATCCCATTCTATCCTCCAACTCCTATACATACTACAAATGCAAGCTAACACCAACATCAGGGCAACAACGCCGAACCGGCACTTACAGACCGTGAAGCCATGGAAACCGAACTCATCCGCGCCCTCATATCCTCATACTTCAACATCGTCCGTGAATCAATAGCGGATCAAGTCCCCAAAGCGGTCATGCATTTATTAGTCAACCACTCCAAAGACGTAGTTCAAAACCGTCTGGTCAGCGACTTGTACCGTGAAGATTTATTCGGCGAACTGCTTTACGAAGATGACGCTATAAAGAAGGAGAGAGAAAAGTGCGAGAAGTTGTTGAGGACATACAAGGAAGCTGCGAAGATTGTGGGAGAGGTTGGGATTTAAGGGCTCGAGGGAGAGAGCAATGATAGGAATGACAGGAATGAGAGAGGGGAATAAAACGGATTTAGATGAATGTGACGATGATACGCAATGCAATTCATGATGATCTGCCCATGATGGCTGGTGGGTAGGCATAAACGGATAGGTGACGGGATGGGATGATATGGATATGAAAAAAACAACTTGTAGATTACACAGCTCCAACACCTGCCTGCACGCTCCACCTTCTGGAACGAAATGAATGAATTGTAAAAAAAATTTCCTTCTTCGTCAGCATCTCTACCGTCTTGGAACTCAAATCACTACACTCACTACACTCACTGTACTCTACGCCAACTTGAAGCTATTACATTGAAGAGAAAAGGACAATTTTTCTTTCATCTCATCTTGTCTTGGGGACGGCGGGGCCTGGTGTATATAGCAAGTAAGTAAGCAAACAAGCAAGTAAGCAGCAGACGGCGATTAGAATTATACTTTGTGTACTTCTTACTTTCTTGGATTCTTTTCTTGATGTTGATGTTGATATGATGTTGATATTGATATTTTGCTTTCGACTTGTGTTTCTGTGATGTGATGTGATGTGAACTAAAATGATATGATATAACTTGAGAAATTGCAATATATTGTGATATATTAGGGGTGAAATTACTTAAGTTCTGCCCAGCTGGGCTGAGCTGAGCTGAGCTCAAAGACTCGAAGAATTGGATAACATTGCATTGCATGAGATGAGATGGCATGGGATGGGAGGGAAGATAAAAGATAGCTACATAACTAATGAGTGATATTGATTGGACGATATATCTGATATTAGTGCGTATTAAGTAAGTATCAAGTATTATATCAAGTGGTAATGGTTGGTGATGGTGATGGTATTGATTGGTGTTTGTATTGGGATAGGATTATGAGAAGTGGGATGGGATGGGATGGGATGGGATGGAAGAGGGAAGAGGGAAGAGTTGTATTTGGGGTGGGTGTGCTTTGTTGTGGGGGTTGATACTGTATGTGTGTTGGTATAGATTCGAGAGTCGTGAGATACTAGATATATGTTCTTGAGTTGAGAGATGAGAGACGAGGAGAGGGGGTTAAAGGGTAGTGATATAGTGAATAGAGAGGGTAAGAATTTCAGCTAAGTCACGCATCACAATCACAATCATGAGCAGGATCGAGACTTCGTACTTGAAGATGCAATGAGCTTTAGACATTTATCTAGTGCAGGATCCAAGCAGGAAGGATTCAGCTTAAAAGGAGATCCATCTGTCAAGAAATGCAGCTAAGCCCTCTAGAAGATAGAAGATATCTCGAGAGACAATCCATCATCTTTTTATTTGCAGAAATTTCAAAACGCCGCCACATGAATCAGTAGATAGGAGAGAGACATCTTGAGAGATGATCTACCATCAATCTTGAAATGCAGAAATTCGTAAAACCATTAAAAAACAGCCTTGTGGTATCTTGAGTCATCATCGTCGCAAAATATCAGTCATCTTCCATCGTCCACCGCAAAGCCCAAACTGCATGAAGAGTGTGACATGAGAACAGAGATCCGCCCTTGCAATAGATATAAGTTGAAAGGTCCTATAAACTATGTCAGTCGGAATGTACAATCAAATCGTAAAGACTCGGTTCATACCCCTGATCAAATCGCAGCACACATAGTAGCAGATTTGAAATTTGTGGAAGCAATATTCTAAATACCACGAGCCCATTCATGGTCAGCGTAGCCACCATACGCAACACTGAAGTACGAGTTTTCCGAGCGGTCAAGGAGCTCAAGGCGTAACTCAATTGTCTTTTCCTTGATGCGCTATATAAGGTCAGTTGGATAGCACTCGGTTGTTATAGCATAGTACAAACTCACATTATGGCAGAGCTCCGGGAAACGCTTGAGCAAGAAGGACGTGATCTCTCGCGTAGTATATCTTGGCTGATGCATTTCTTGTCTAGGGACCTTGCCATCGACCAACATAGCGTGTGTGGACAAGTAAGCGATGCAGCGATCATGCTTATCGGACCATCCTGACGGAAGGCCACAGCTTGGCACACTCTTATTTACAAGCTCCGGTCCAGGAGCACGGAAGTAGGTAAGTAGGTTGTAGGTCTTGTCCTAAGTAGATACAGCTGTAAGCCTGGGTCACTATCGTAACGAATGAGTTGTAGACTTACCTCTGTCGGCGGCAGAGTACAACCTGGACCAAGGTTCATGACAGGATTTTGGAGAAGTCTCTCGCGAGCTTCGCCTGCACTGACTCCATTATAGGTAGCTGTAAGCGTGCGGCGGCGGTCCTCGGATAAGCCAGCGGCTGCGGCAGCTGCAGCTGCAGCGCGCTGTTTTCTTCTGCTAAGAGGCCGAGGGGGGGTACCATTTTCATTTTCTAGGACAATATTAAATACGAATCGCTTGTGTTTGAAGAACTCCAACAGAATATGAAGTGTTGAGACACTGGTAGGTATATGGGGTGACGAGGTACTCACGGTCAAATGGTGTCATCTATATCATGTATTAGCAAATCCAGATAACTCGTTACGAACAGAGAGTGACGTACCGGCATCATTACTTGTGCCATGATGAATTCTTGAAACCTGTAATATTTGGCTAATGGGTCAATACAATGTCAGCTCTATTTTAAGTGCATTTTCAATGGTCGATGAAGCTGAAATGGGCTGGAGCTCACATAGCGAAGAGTATTTGAAAAGTTTAGTCGGTCCGTCGGATCGAAGAAGAGAAATAGGATCTAAAGCGATGCTTCAGTATGAGAGACCAGTGTATAGTTATAGTAGTTCGGGTGAAGGAGGGGTATACTAACGTGTTTTATGTTGAACTTGTTGCTGCCCTTGATACAGATCGGAGAAACTGCTGTCATAGTCAGAAACCAAAACGTATATTTTGGGGAACGAGAGGCTACAAGAGTAGACTTACACTCTTCGAGATATGGTTGACGTATATTTTGTACGACAGGCTGCAAACAAATCGATACCACGAGGGCAATCTCAATTGAAAAAAGTTGGTTGTAATCTATGAGTGAGAATGAATCCTCTTGTCGAAGTTAATTATCTTGAGAAGTGAACGCGGCGGCTATTGAGAAGAAGAAGTCAGCCCGTGTTGATACCAAACACGGCAAGGATACTAGGTATCGGGCCGAAACGGAGGTGATAGTTGAGGGAGAGTATAGTACTATGGAGGTTGATTGAAGGTTGAACGTAAACTCGAAGGAAGTTAAAGGCAAGAAGGACTTGACTTGGACTCTTAGAATACCTCAATGATTGTTTCGGGTTGAAAAACACTGCTAGAAATAATCAGATTGTGTTTGATATACTATTAAGAAACCAAATAAATTGGGAGAGGTAAACAGTTTTGTGTGATGGATTCAAAACAAGGGGAGGTGGGAAGTAAACGAAGAAAGAACATGGGAATCACCATTCCCACGGTGATAAAGAGAACTTTCTCAGGTGCACCCGATCAACGACGTATATGAGCAGTATACCTTGATGGACAACAATGTTAAATCTTTAAAAGTATTCCTAGAATAATGTCCTGATAAATATCAATGAAGAAGTCAATATGAATCTTTTGATATCATGGTAGTGTCTTAATGTTGTAAACTTCACCTCCCCCCTAAAATCAAATTTCATGAAAGAATTGTGATATTAGAGTTGAAGAAGTCAAGCTTCTATGAAACAAGCTATTATAGATCAACAACGATGAGCTCATTACTAGGTAGTTATCAGATTGCCAAAAGGTTTAGCCCACTCCTCACTTGCTAATATTGGAAAGCACAACCTCGCTTTGGAGTTGTCTTTCCGAAAGGGGTAATAACCACGCAGTCCAATGAACTTTGAACTTCACAATTGAATTGAATTGAATCGGACCGTGCATTTAATACTCCCAATGGAGAGCTTCAGGTTATGGACACACTAGTATTCATAGATAATCTTCAATAGGGCAAGACCTAACATACTAGGTAGTAACTGACTGACTGCCCTTTAAGACCTCGTGAAGTCAAACATAATATAAATTACCTTATCAAGAAACATAGCATAGCATACCTAGGTACCTCGTCCATATAGTGTGCCCCTTCGTACAGCTCCAATCACCACAAGAGATCTTTCCTTATTTCTATATTTGAGCATTGTCAGCCAAGCTCCAGTGTTCTGGGATTGAATTGTTTTCATTGTTCAAGAAAGCAATGGAGATACAGGTTCCTTCTTCGTCTTATCCAAAAAAGAAGACATACATACCGTCAGTCCTTCTAACCTTCCTATACACTCCCACTTCACCCAACCAGATGGAATGTGCCTCAGAAAGACACACCCGGCTTATGAGGAGACCGTAAATCCCGACCCAATGAATCCTTCTTTTCTTTTCAAGATCCTCCTTTCTTTACCGAGTGATCCTTAAAATAGTTATTTCTCACTCAATTCAATGATATTGTACAAGAACTGCTGACATGTCCATATATATTCATTCTTACACTTTTTACCTACACCTAGACAACTATCCTTCCCTTAAACACTTTCGCCATGCGTCATCATCAGGTGAAAAGCATGAAGAAATTTTATCCAGAGCTACACATGTATCCCACGGGTTTATGCAGAGGTAACACTTATCTATCGGCGGATGCAACCCAATTTCAACCACCCAACCATTTCCCATGCTTCCTTATGTTGGGGAACTGTGAGACCTTGCCATTTACTTTGGGGAAATAACATAGGGTGCCCCGAGAAATGTAATCAATGCATGGCAAATGAGATGGTAAAATGTGAGAATTCTTTAATTGACTTTTCTGGATATTCGTTTATCGACTTCATTCAGTTCAAGCATTTTTAGAGTCTTGATGTGCAAGAAAACGCAGTGTATATAATAACACATAGAGCCTCTAAATTGGCATGACCCCCATGCATATTTCTGGTTGTACAAACTCCTTTCTTCCAGAAAGATTGCAATTATGGCCTACTAACTTAAACGCAATTACAATTTTTTGAAACTCTATGCAAAGCTAGCCTATCATCTTCATTCCGATGTCTATCTAAGAGCGACCGGTAATTTTGCTAAGCAATGAACCACTAGGAGCCTTTTGCTTATCGAATACACCCAAAAGTGACTTCCAAACGACTCCGGGTTGTTGCGATGCGTCAATACCACTCCAGATGCCGGACTTTTGGTAATAACCAACGACAGGGGCTGTTTGAGCGTGGTAGGTAACAAGTCGCTTCTTCAAAGCTTCGGCATTGTCGTCGGATCTTGATACAAGGGGTTCACCAGTGATATCGTCCTTCATGTCTGCCTTAGGTGGGTTGAACACTCGGTGATACGATCGGCCTGAAGCGGGGTGTACCAAACGACCAGTAATGCGGGATACAAGAAGACTATCGTCAATTTGAAGTTCGACTGCGTGTTGTAGCTTTTGATTGCGCGCTGAAAGCATGGCATCTAAGCGCTCTGCTTGCACGACTGTACGTGGGAAACCATCAAGAATGAATCTATGTTTCACGTCAGAACGAGCTCTCCTCTCTTGTATTCTCCGCCAGCACTTACCCTCCCTTGCACTCTTGATTGCCCTCAAGTTCGGCCTTGATCATACCAATAACGATCTCATCGCTGACAAGGCCACCTTGATCCATAATCTTCTTAGCTTCCCGGCCTAATGGTGTCTTCTTCGCAACTTGTGATCGCAACATATCCCCAGTAGCCTAAATCGAGCATTAGCAGTGCCCTTCCTCCGCAAGTAAAGTAGCTTACCAAATGACAGCATGAAAATCTCTCCTTGATCTTAGGAGCTTGAGTACCCTTGCCTACAAAACGGTTTAGCCGATGCCCCCATTGCGACCAAAACACGATCGCAAACCCGGGAAAATTATGAATACATACCAGCACCTGGAGGGCCCATAAGAATCATTCTAACGCCCTCAGGAGTGGAGGGTGCAGGGCCACCAGCAGCATGCGCAAGCTTGTCTTCGAGCTCCTTGACTCTCGACTCGAGTCTATTGACCAGGTCATGGAGGGTCTGCGAGGCATCGTCGCCAATTGGTGCCATTGTGAATTGATTTTATGAAAGAAAGCCGGACCAAGGTGTGGAATTAATCCAAAATATACAAATGTAGAGTGGAGAGTGGAGAGAGACAAGAGGAAAAGTTTCGCAGTTCTTGAATTGTGAGCGTAGTGGAAGGGAACTGGCACAGTTATTGTAGAGCACTGTCTATCTATCTAGCTTGTTCTGCCGAGCGACAATCGGAAGGACGGATAAAATTCACCGGCCCCCTCAGTATCAATATCAATATTGAAGAAGGAAAGAGGATATAAATTCTAGGAGGGGGAATTCATGAACATTTATATCACAAGGGACCCAAGTGAGATCTTATCTTTACAGCAGCTATTGTTATATTGATGCACATTTGGTCAAGTCAATTCACCGGACCTTTACAAAGTTATGGTTTATGGTAATACAATGGAATTTAAATCTTCCAGCTCCTGGAACTCCTTCTGTATCTACAAAGTGAAATTCGAAGTCTAGATAACACCGGGAAGTTATTCCAGATGGCCAGCAAAATCTCCCCTACGTATCTGAAAGGGTATACAATGTACAACTAAAACCTTGTGATGATCGGGTTCCTACATCCGATCTATCCTTCCTGTCCATATTTCAACTTTACCTTGCACGTCCCGCCGTCCCGCCCTTCCGCCCGCTACCAAACTAGCTGCCCGCCGCCGTGTAACACGTGATAGCGTCTCGATTCGGTTTGGAGCTAAGCACCAGGCAAGCTCTTGCCGCGAATACCTAAGAATATCAGCCTTGTCAACAATTATTCCATAACAACAAACCTCCATAACTCGAAACTCATCATGCCTGCTACCACGGCGGAAACCCTCTCTCTCGTTACAAGAAATGTATCAGTTGCACCACTGGTATTACTTTCAGTAGCAGATCATTACGGCCGGTCAACTAAAGGCTCGCGCAGACGTGTGGTTGGAGTTCTGTTAGGACAGAATGACGGAAAGGATGTACGGGTATCAAACAGTTTTGCTGGTACGTTGGTTCTTTTGGGAGCGCGTATATAAGCTCAGTTTGATCTATTGTCTACCAATACTAATGGCAACTTTTAACAGTCCCATTCGAAGAGGATGATAAAGACCCATCAGTATGGTTTTTGGACCACAACTACGTCGAGTCGATGAATGATATGTTTAAGAAGATCAATGCGAAAGAAAAGTTGATAGGATGGTATCACTCTGGGCCTAAGCTGAGAGCTTCGGATTTAGAGATCAATGAGTTGTTTAAGAGATATACCCCCAATCCATTACTTGTGATTATCGATGTTCAACCAAAGGAGGCTGGCGTACCAACAGATGCCTACTTTGCAGTAGAGGAGATCAAAGATGTAAGGCTCCCTACTGGGATTGGGACTGTATAAATACTAATAATACCAAAGGACGGCACAACTACATCCAAGACTTTCGTACACACACCATCGATTATCGAGGCTGAGGAGGCTGAAGAAATCGGAGTTGAACATTTACTTAGAGATATCAGAGATGTGGCAGTTGGAACCCTGTCAACCCGCATCACAAACCAATTACAATCATTGCAAGGACTGCATTTGCGTTTAAGAGACATTGGTCAATATCTACAAAAAGTCCTCGATGGTACCCTTCCAGTCAACCACGCCATCTTAGGCAATCTCCAAGATGTTTTCAATCTCCTCCCTAATCTATCTACGCCCAAACCTTCCTCTCATATTCCCAACGGTTCCGATGCACCACTTGAGAACAATAGCGAATTGGCACGTGCTATGAGCATAAAAACCAACGATCAGTTGATGGCTATCTACTTAAGTAGTTTGATCCGCGCTATCACTGCCTTCCACGACCTGATCGACAACAAAATCCAAAATAGACAACAACAAGAGGACAAAGATACTAAGAAGGACGAGGGCAAAGATGAGAAAGACAAGAAGACTGATGGGCCTAATGGCGTGAACGGGGATGCGAAGGAGGGCAAGGAAGTGGAAAAGGAGAAAGAGGATAAGGAAAAGAAGAAGTGATGAAGGAATGGAGGGAGTTGGTGAATATCTTTGGGTGTTTTATGAGGTATGGGCATTCATAACGGGGCATGACATAACATTTGAGATGAGGTTGAGAATGGTATGGTATGTCATTGTATCATAAATGCGTAGCTTGCAAATAATAGCAGTCATGCAAAGTTTCGAATGTGATTCTGACACTATGTGCCCAATTTTCTTGTTGCGTTAATTCTAGGAGACTCTTAGAGTGCAAAGCAGCTCCCCTTTAGTTCGCTTCCAGTAATGTAATTCCCAAACTCATGATAGAATCTATTAACAGCAATTCAAACCCCCGTGCGCCAAACAAAAAGCTACTATAGTCAACCAATGCCTTCCATCCCTCCCACGACAGTTCCCCAACGATTCCCCATCCCATTCCATTTCACATCACATCACACAAACAACCCAGCCATCTCCTCCCTCCCCACCACCCTCTCCCCAACATATCCCCCCAGTACACCCGCCCACCTCTCGCCTAGAAGACACGCAACCAAATGTTTACAAATGGGTACTTGGGGGTCTTTGGCAGTGGTGCCTCCGTATTGCCATTTTTCTTCTTCGGGAGTTTCCTTTTCTTTTTCTTGGGGATTCTTGTTTTGTAAGAGGGGGCTTGATGTGGGATTAAAAGAAGCAGAATAATGAGAGGAAGAAGATATAGAAGATGTAGGAAGAGCGGGAAAGGCGGAATATGTAAAGGCGGCGCATGTACAGTTCCAGGCGTCTAGATGGACCGTGTAGATATTGTCTGATGGTGCCATTCCAGCACTAACGCCATATCTAGAATTAGATCTAGTGGTAGCGTGCGAATGTGACTGATATTGAGAGTGAGAGTGAGAGGAGTTCCATTTAGAAGGTTGAGACGAGCGCACTTGGTGGAGTGTTATTTTGTTTCTTGATTTGGTGGGAGAGGATGGGTTTGAGGCAGAGGTTGGTGGTTGAGCATGAGCATGAGGTGCGGGTGGGAGTGGGAGTGGGAGTGGGAGTTGTATCTGGATGTGTGCTTGAGGAGGTATGCTACTTTCTGCTCCTTCTCCAGTTGTCTGGTTCGTTTCAGCGTGAGTAGCGTGATATCTTGATGTCACTCTCTCTTCGCCACTCAGATCTTTCCCTTCCCCTTCCCCATATCCATTACCACGAGCCTCTCCCTCCCACCAGAACACAATCCTCTCCACACCACCTCTATCTAACAAATCCAGCGCCTGCAACAATAACGGCGGTGGAAAAATCACATGTAACGTCATCAGCAATGCTTTTTTCTCCGCCTCCACATTTTTCAATGGATTCTCTTTTTGGTTTGCATTTTCATTCCCTCTTCGATTTGCTTTCTCATTCGTAGCTGTACTCCTCGAGTCGCAAAGTCTTGGAGGAATGTGGGATGGATTGTGGGGTTGGAGTTGAGGGGATAAAGATGAAGATAAAGATGAAGACGAAGCGGTAAGAGTATTGAAAAGAGAAGTCATGAAAGAACGGGGTGGGGGGAGGGGATGGCTGGTGGACATTGTGTTGTGATTTGATCTGACGTGATCAAATAGAGCTGAATAGAATGAAAGGAATGATGAAATAGAATAGATATCTACGAGTGTGGTAGTATTTGAGAAAATATAGAGACATTTGATCTGTCAATCAATTGATTATCAGATGATAGGTAAATTTCCCACCAAAGTTGAATGTGGAATTTGGTGACAAGATGTGAAATGTTGAAGTATGCTCGGGATGAAATGGACGGGATGGAATGAGATGAAATAGAAAAGGAGGGGCGGCAGAAATCTCGCTTGTTTAACACTACTCGAGTATACTCTATTCGTTATTTCACACCTGACTTTGACCATTATAAATACACCTAATTCTGATTCTCGTAAATTCATCTCTCTTTTTGTTCTTCTATCTTATTTTATACATATATTTCTAACTTATATATACAACAAACAGCAATCATTTCCCTATTTCCAGTCCCTTCTCCAACATCTAAACCCATTCCTTAGGTTCTCTCAAAACATCCACTAACCTCTGTTCCCTACTTCCCTTTTCGGGTTCATACATATACCTCCAACTAGCAGTCAAAGGTAAACTCATCAAAATACTCTCCACTCTCGCGCTTGGTGTGTTTAAACCAAAAGCCGTGCCTCGATCATGTACCAAGTTAAACTCCACATATCGGCCCCTCCTAATTTGTTGCCATTCCTTTTCTTTTTCGGTATATGGCATATCTTTTCGCTTGTTGATGATGGGGAGATATGAGGGAAGGAAGGCCTTTAAACAACTCTGCGCAAACGCGAATGTGTTTTCTTGATCCTTTTCTTGCTCGTCTAAATCGTCGAAGAAGATGCCTCCAATACCCCGCGTTTCCCCTCGATGCTTGTTGCAGAAATAGTTATCGCACCACTTCTTGAATCGAGGATAGTATGCTTTATCGTGGTTGTCGCATGCTTCTTTGATCGTCTTGTGGAAATGAATAGCATCTTCATCGAATAGGTAACTGGGCGTAAGATCCGTTCCTCCGCCAAACCACCATGCGCAAGGTGTACCATCTGGGTTTTCAGTTTCGAAATATCGATAGTTAAGATGGACGGTTGGCGCCATTGGGTTCACTGGATGGAGAACCATACTCAATCCTGCAGCGAAAAAGTCGAGGGACTGAACTTCGGGGTCGATAGCCTTATGGTTGACTCGCATTTTCTCTATCGCAGGCCGTGGTAATGTTCCATATACCACACTGATGTTCACACCTGCCTTCTCGAATACATTCCCGTCTTGCAATACACTCGAGATACCTCCACCTCCATGTTCCCGGTTCCATGTATCGACTTGGAATTTCTTGCCGTCAACCTGTTCTAGTTCGTGGACAATTTCCTTCTGCTGTTGTTTGATGAATGCTTCCATTCGCAATCGCATAGGCGAATTCTCCGTAACTCCGGATTCACGTTTGGTGAGAGTATCTCTTTCCGCAATAGTAGGGGAGTCCAATTTGGCTGGTTCTTCTGTTGCCTGCTGAGGTGTAAGTGAAGCCCGAGGCCTGAGTATTGATCGAATACTCCATACCATGTTGTAAACTAAAGCACCAATAAAGACGAAACCAACAACGATTCTAGTTTTTGGTGCCCAGACGGTTGAGTTCCCAGAGTCTGGTCTTGGAGGTTTTCGCTGATCTGTGAAAGTTCTTCGAGGGAATATAGGTATGGGACGTCTAAAGAAAGAAGTCCTTCCCAAGCTCGAGAATCGAGCTCTTCTTATAGGAAGAGACATTGTGAATGAAAGGAAATGGACACCCTAGAAATAAAGAAGATTTGAGCACTATAATACAAGAAACATGCCACAAATAAGGAGATATTGTTGTGGAAGGATTGTGCGGATGTAATTTAAAGAACTAGATTTGTCGATGTATTTTCGCTCTTCCGCCATGGTACGATTTCTATATTCATGACGGTGATGAATGGACAGTCATGTTAACCCTCTAAAAGAAGCATTGACCATCGGGATGATCGGGAGTTTTTGACAACGATAATTCCGGGGTTCTTAATAGAGGTATCAAAATATGAGATGATAGATGATAGATGATAGATGATAGATGATAGATGATAGATTATAGTTGATACGTTCTTCAAGTTGTAACAGCACAACTCCATGATAGGGGACTTTATCTTGATGGTTGCATGTTCTCCTGGAAAAGCTGCTAAGGCCCGCCCTCTTCCATTGCCTCTATTATCCTATGAGTCCCCTTCTCCAGCTGCCTGTGGATTAGTTCCTAAAGGGGTGCTGGATGAGAACAACCGGTCAAAGAGAAACAAGTGACAAAGAAATAACAACTAGGAATAGCAGTAGAGGATAAATGAATGAATGATGTTTATAATCATGTGCTAAAAAGGTAATCCGAAACAGTCATTCACTCTTCAATGTCAGCTGCTATTTCAAGTCTCCCAACCCATTAACCTCTCACTCTTCCATACAACTATCGCTAGGCACGTAAAAGGTGATTCACAATCAAGCTCTCACCGCTTACGCTACTTAGCCACTCAGGCAGTCCGTCCTAATACTTAGTGTCCCATCCATTACAACCTCCTACCCTTTCCCCTCCATCAATCCTCTTATCACATCAACAACACACAACAATATCAACGCAACCTCTTACAAAACCGTTTATCATAAACAATAACGAAACACTTTTAACCAAATCAACATCTAGCCACTTACACCATGCGATCCAAGTTTAAGGACGAGCATCCCTTCGAGAAGCGCAAGGCTGAAGCCGAACGCATCGTAAGTCGCATTCCAATCCCTTAACCTGCACCTCCTATTCCCCGCCATCTGCCTCCTCTCTATCGCATCCCCAAACCCCCATCGCGACCCTTCTCCGCCCATATCAAAAGCTAACCTTCATATCCAGCGCCAAAAATACTCAGACCGTATCCCCGTGATCTGCGAGAAGGTCGAGAAATCTGATATCGCCACTATCGACAAAAAGAAGTATCTCGTCCCCAGCGATCTCACCGTCGGTCAGTTCGTCTACGTGATCCGCAAGCGTATTAAGCTTTCCCCCGAAAAGGCCATTTTCATCTTCGTCGATGAGGTCTTACCGCCTACCGCAGCTTTGATGAGCTCCATTTATGAGGAACATAAAGATGAAGATGGGTATGTTTTCCACTATCTGCTTTTCACAACGTCATACCGCTCTATCGTTGTCGTTATCGTGATTATCGCGATTAAATCTCACTCAACACGCAATATTTGTCTATGAACAAAGAACCCCCAAATAATAGATGACCCATCAATGCTAACATGACTACAAAATAGTTTCCTCTACATCTCCTACTCGGGCGAAAACACGTTTGGTGAAGCCTTAGAAGAAGCCAACTAAATCCGTCTTCCTCATCCACCACTTCAGTACAACACAACATCATTCAGGCGTTTATAAGGCGAGGCGATGATGGATAGGCAGGGCAGTGTGACTCTACATTACAACTAAGGCAGTTTTTCTTTTCTCATTGTCGACTTCTTCCATGTTTCCCCTCGGAACACCTCGGAGTGTAACAACCAACCATTCCTCGTCTACCTCTTCGATCATCCCAAGCGACATCTTTTTACGGTACACAGCGAAGGAGATCAAGAAAAATAGAATGACTATCTGTACATGGGACAGTTGTCTGTGTTCTCGGGAGTGAGAGCTTGGGTATGCGACGTTGTGAATTATTCGTAGGGGTTGTTTCTTTTTCCTTGTTTCGTGGCATTGGTGGGAGGGGTTTATTGGGAATAGGTACAATATGATACGATGCTTTCTGCCAACACATGCATGGTTTCACCATTTGATGGCTACACGTGAAGTTATTCGATTTGTGATCTGTTGTGATTGTGACGATCTCTTTAATAATAACTAACGAATGTGCAATAGTTCCTCTATAAACCCAGAGAGCTCTGCAAGCTCTGTAATGACTTCAAGCTATTCGATGCAATAACTCTAACTCTAACAATTTTCATAATAATACTCCGCGATACCATGATCCATAATCGTCTAATTTCGAATCGTAAACACTCCATCGAACGTACACATCTCAAACCCCATTTGCCTAGCACACAGCACATGATTCACCCAACCAGGAATAGACAATATCGAAGCACTGACTACGAAGCGCCCATCAAAAGATTGAACACTCAAGCGCTACGTTTTCCCGATCTTCCAATCGTTCCAAAAACCGAACTCAATTTCTTCTTCAACGAACTTGGCGAGTCGCTCAACTTCTTACCAATACTACCAAACTTTCCATTCGTTCCCGGGGTTTCAGAGGTTCCCATGTTTGGTTTTCCGCATTTCTGGCTACCGCTACTCTTCGTTATGTGGCGACGATTACCATCAGTCTTATTATCCTTCAGAGTAGCGGAGGCTAGGGACTCTGAACCATCCGAAGTGTAACCACCTGGAGCAGGTCGAGTGGGAGATAATGTAGGAGGATCTTGGACTGAGAAGATAACGTGAGAATCATGATTTGTCAGTGGAAGAACATTAGAGGCTGTGTGAAAATTGGGGCTCGAAGCTTCAAGTGGTGTGAACTGGGAAAGTTTCAAGCTACCATTTTCGATGGTGGAAATGTTCTTGGTGTCTTGATGGGTATCGTCAGAGTTCTCACGAACTTCACGAGGTTCGATATGCTCGGGATGTTTACCGGATGAGCTGGATCGACTGGAACAGGGGCATATAATTGTTTTGATGCATTCCATGGAAATTGCTTCATCACAAATGTCGAGAGTTGTCGGAGACTGATGTGTCTGTTGAATGGGTACTGTGCTGGACGGAGCAGAAGCCTTGAAATCATTGGCCCAGAACTGATCTTCAAATTCTGAAAGGGACATTTGATCAACCATGAACGATTCATCAACCTCAGAGGAATGGTCTCGTGGAATGCAGCAACCATCGACCAGCTTCGTATGGGATTTTCCAATAAGCTTCTCCTCGTCCACAAACGTGGTATTGTCGATATCTTCAATTCTCATCGAAAGACCTTCTTTCTGAAAGGCTACTTGCAACTGCAACTTCTGCATAGTCTTGACGAAATTGTCTTGCTCAATCTTATCCATCCATTCAAAAGACTCCAAATATTCTTGGGTTAATTCAAAAGGAGATATACCGGCGTTGGTGAGCTTTTGTCGTGCGGAGGCTGCTTTTTGGAGTGCTCTTCTATGCAGGGTTGGAATATGAACATCCATCCATTTCGCTGTATCGTTGCCTTGACTCAATACCAGTTCTACAAATTCAATTTCCGTAAGATATGCTGGATGAAGCCCTTTAGGTACGAGCATTTCCCAGGCGCAGTTCCAAAGCGGGCCTTTGCGTGTACCGTATTCATGTATCGCCGAGTCCGAGTTAACAGCAGTGGTGAGCCTACTGAAATATGCGTGCTGATCAGCGTAGTCGAACTCATCGATGTCAGCGGAAGGAGGTGTGTCGAATTGGACGGAAGTTGATGGTATCTTGAGTCTTATTGGCAACACGATCATGTCCTCAAAACTGAGTCGAAAGTCCGATGACTGTCTTCGAAGGTTGTAATCCTCGCATTCGAAATCCATGTCAGGATCTTGCTCATAAAGGTCAAAGGCCATGCAATCATTATAGTTAGTTGGTTCAGTAGTGGAAGGTTCAACCGATTGTGGAACATCGAAAGAGCTGCTGTGCCCAACTACTGCTTTAAGATCTTGTGGGCGAACGTTTGGCGTGGGTAGGCGTTGAGTATCGGCGCAGACTTTCTTTGGAATACGGGAAGACGGTAATTTGCCAGAAGCGGTTTGCCCATTGTCTAACTCATGGAGAGGCTTTGAACGATTTTTCATGTAGAGGTATGAATCTTCGCTGCCGTCTGCCATTGTAGCTTGCGGAGATCAATATGGTATGGATGATGTAAATATCTTTGATATCCAATGCAAAGAAACTTCGTGAAGGATAGAAGATGGAGTGAGAGTAAAGTGCTGAGACTTGCACTGCTACTATGCCAGGAATGCAAATTGATGGATTACTTCTTGTTGTATGGTAAAAGTTCTCTCGAACGGCAAGAAAGTCTCAAAATATATAGCATGACATGCACCTTCCTAGAAGTATTTCGTGCATGTCGGCCAAGCTCCTGCCACAACTCTTAATTTTTCCTCACCATAGGGTCATTCGAGCGAGGAAAGCCTATTCTTCTATTTCATATAAGTCATCAAGCAGCCAGGAGGGATGGACTCTGGCAATTCATACCTGAACGCAGCATCAATTGTCTGCTGTGTGGTACGTCCTTGTTCCTTTTCTTCCCTGTTGATACGAGTTACCGTTGCCCCTACTCCAATAAATAGAGCGAAGATCGGATCGCCGGCCTTAGATATGAGATAGGCTGGAGAAGGCATATTGATGCTTTTACGTGTGAATTATTATCAATTTGTACCTATGTGAATGACTTGGAGATGATTTGGAGATGATTTGGAGCTATCAAAAAGAGATGTTCAAATGCGTTGAAAATTGTGGATAATTGGTTACCAAATTCCCGGATATTGCCGAGATGCTATTAGCCTATAGCTTATAGCTTCATGGAGGGGTAAAGTACAAAAGCACATGAGAGCCATCAATATTTTACCATACACTCCTACCTATGTGCTTTCCTCTACTTCCACCCTTGAAAATGAATCCTTGACAATAAAAGGTGGCATTCTGGCAAAATACTATGTAGATTGAACATGACAGGCAGTGATAAGCAAAGTCACATAGTTGATTCTCGGCAAATTACGGAATATTGGTTTGGTTATTTATACCATTTGTTTTTTGACATTGTCATTGTCAATTTGAGTCGAGTGGTTTGCCCTCCCCTGTATATTGACTCCCAACTGTACACGAGGGCGCTATATCATTGAACGCCAGTTTTCCTTCCGAGTCATTTCTACTATTATTACATCATGAAGTTCAATCGCATACAAATATCTTATTTGGAAAGAGCAATGTCAAAAGCGGGGATTAAAGTTTGTGCAAGCCAGAAAGAAAACACCAACTTTGGTCCGGTCATTAATAGCTTTCAGACGTTAGTGTCAAGACTTTCCAAAGCTTTGAGATGCAACATACCTTTGGTGTCAAACCCTTGAAGAAACTTGTCATGCCCTCATTCTTCATCATACTTGACACGATTCTGAGACCACTCTCTGGGTTCTCGAAGTTACGGTTTTGGATTCGGGTCTTGATAACATCAAGGGGTGCGGAGACAAGAAGGGATGCAGAGGCACCGGCGATAGAAGCTACAAAATTCTGGAACCAGGTGGCCTTGTTGTAATCACTTAGACCGAAAAGGTATCCTTTAGTAAAAGCAGATCCACCGAAGAGCTTTGATATGTTAGCAGCCATCCAGATTGTAATGATAGGGGGACTCACAGCAAATGATCCAGGTGCATTTCTTGCGGCAGTCCATTGCCAACCTCTGTACAATCCGAAACCCTCATCTCTAACGATGCTGACAACTCCTCGTCCTCTGAAAGACTCGGGGTTTGTCTGTCGTTTGATCTTGAGAACATCAAGGGGCAGGAGCACAATCTCTCCAATTCCGACAAGACTTCCTGCTACTGAGCTCATCATCGCCTTTCCAGTCTTTGCGCCAAATGTGTTATCGAATGTGCTACCGTGATTCTTCTCTAAATAATCGCGAACGAATGGCTGTCCACCATATTTATAGATTCGCTGAAGGACCTTGTATCCTGCAGCGTATCCTAGACCTGGGAAGAGGGAAAAGAACTTGGTGCCGATAGGAGCTGTTGCCTTATCCTTGAAGATAACTTCTGCCAATTTGCCCTTGGTCTGCCGGAGAAGTAATTAGAAGGGTATGGTAGAAAGAGTTGAACATAGGTGGGAATTGTACCGATCCCTGATTGCTCATCAATCTCTTTGCGATTGTGTCGACCTTCGATGGGTCAGTAAATCCATTCTCAGCACAAGTTTCAGTGGTTCCATACAGGATGAAATACGGCAAGCTCAGCAATACCGGCAGATCCTACAGAGTTTAAGCAATTCATCACATAATAAACTAAGCTGTGGAATCTAACCTGAGCCCAACAATCTAGCCAATGTAGATTCTGACTTGTAGGTTTTGGAGACCGGTGACGGCGAGACTGCTGCAATTGGAGACATTATGGCGACAAAGATAATAACGCGTGTAAATTGCTTCAAAAATCAATCAAAGGAGTGAAGAATCTAAAACTACCCCCGAGGCTTCCGAATTGTTCTATTTTGTAAAGATTGTGTGAAAAACTGAAGAATATTTTGTCTATCTTAAACTTTTTTTTCTTTGGACCCTTTTAGAAAGCCCTTGTAAGTTGTCCGTGCGCTATTAGCTACAATTTATTTGCCGCGGGGTAACCTTCTGACAGGTTGAAGTTGGGGATGAAGGATGAAGGATCGATTCAAAAATCGAATAAAAGAAGTTTATCATTGCAATTAGTTGATTTTCTATACTTTATTGATGTTCTCAGAGAAGATTCTGTGTTAGGTTCAATCGACGCCTGCATTGCACTACACAGGTTCATGTTGTATCTGATCCGCCTTTGTACGTACTGAGATTGCGTGGTATCAAGATTACTACCCCCATCCAGCATGAATAAGAAAGGGGCTAGATTTGGAAGCAAAACCATGATATTACAAACTGCATACATTTGCAAATGTTGAGAGTGTTTGCTGAGGTAACAAATCTAAGCTATGAAATGATTCTATGGTATCTCAGAGCCGTGAGTCAGCTGGAAATGCCCATTACTGCCCGACCATACTAAAACGCCTTTTTTATGCAGTAGATGGCGCCGCCCAGTGTGAAAAACAAGTACGCTCAATTCCCGAACCGAACCCTCCATGCATAATTAAAAATCGTTGAACACGCCGACTAAATCGTCGAGTCTGCACATCTGCCCCAATAGATCTTCCTCCTTCGCTCGGATCTCACGCAACTGGTTCATCTGTTCTGGTCGGAGTATAGCCTCCTCTTGACCCTGGACATCTGTACGCTCCGATAATGCAATAATATCTGCTTTACGTCGCTTCTCCACATCGAGCCGTTGTAGACATCTTGACATGGCTTTGTAGGTTCGGTCCAATAAAAGGGAGGCGACTCGGTCTTGATCGAAAAACCACAAGAAGACAGTACGCACAATCATACGACCAGCATCCCTGGGGACTTCCTGAATGTCGACCATGCCAGCCATTTGCATTTCCACAAGCTTGGTCCGGGCGTCCTTCTGTTTGACCAACCCCACCAGAGAAAGGTGCTTTTCTTCAAGCTTTCCCATCTTCCTCATAATTCGTATGAGTCGATGTCCGTTTTTGCCGAAATTCTCATATATGATGGAGTCGATTTCTAATTCTCGAAGTCGCTCAATCACACGCTCGAAATCGACGGTCCACTCGCCCATTTGTCGGGTGCCACACTTTCGCAGTAGATGGCAATCATCGGCCGCTAATAACTGAAGATGGTTCATCACTTGCATCATTCGGGCTTGACGACTCTCCGTTGGAGGAGACCTTGTATCTTGGTCTTGGAAAGTGACGGCTCGTTTGTTTTTATTGGCCCTGGATTGATCTGTAAATGGATCATCTTCGTCGATGTCCATCGCATGTCCATTTCCATTCGTGAAAGACTTGTGATCATCTTCTGACTCTTCATCGGAACTGGCATCGCCTTCGGTATCGTCTCGGGATTTTCTCTTTCGGCCATTCTGAATTTTGTCAAACTTGGAAGCATCAATACCTTGGATAGCAGTTTTGCCAATACCAATCGATACGTTAATTGTCTTACTTAAGGCATCGGTCAACTCCTGGGTCGTTATTGTTATTGCAGGCCCATCGGGGTCATCCACGACATCATCGATCTTCGGATCGGGTCGACATCTAGGAATTCGTTCTGCCAGAAGTCGGAGGAGTTCCGCATAAATATACGATGTATTTTCGCCGATCCGGGAATTTGCAAGCTCAACAAGCCGCCGATTTCTCATGGCGATGGTACATTTTTCGTGGTTGATTCGTAAAAGCAGGTTTCCCTTGTAGCAGGTTAGCATGAAATCACAGTAAGCTATAACGGATATATATAACCTACGTCAAGCTTGTTACTTTCGTCATCGACAAAGTCATAGCCATTGGTAGCGCTGCCATTGTGGGAGAGCCTTCTTCGTTTTGTGGCAGTACCGTTCATGTGACCACTGGTAGATGGCCGGCTGTAACCAACTGGTCTCCAGTTTGGAACCTCAGCTCTCAATTCTTGTAGGCGTGCTCGAACTCTTGACCTCAACTCGTCTTTTTGCTTCGTTCCTCTCGTGGCTCCCCCATAACTATCGTGCAGAAGTGCCTTCTCAACCGCATTGTAGCTGTCTGTCGGGCTTCGAAACATGTTCTGACCAACAGGTTGAATAAATCCTTCTTCTAACAACTGAATTAATGTGTGATTCAATTGTCCCGAGGGATACGATTGAATGCCATTCCCATTTGCAGCGCCATTGGTCCCGTTACCGTTACCATTGCCATTGCCATTGGCGTGTGCTTCGTGGCCCTTGTTCAATTCTGCGATTATGTCGAATATCTTGGCGTGGCCCAAAAGTACCAATTGTTCCATAATCTCGGTCGCAACAGATCCAAATCGTTCCCCCACAATCTCTAAGATTTTCCCAGACCTAACGAGAGCATATGCGGCGTCAACATTTGCTTCGTAATTGGTGTCGCCGCCCCCTTCATCTGAGGTGTGGTAAACTAAATTTTGTCGAACGAGGACCGTTAATCCGAGTTTCAATTGTCGCGTTGTGAGTTGAGTGTGTCGCTTGAGCGCAACCATAGATAATCTTCCTCGTCGAAGTAGAATAGTAAAAATGCGCTACATGATGTCAGACCTGACCACAGCAGAAATATTTCCTTCAGCCTTGTCATATATGCAAGGCTTGATCCATAATAATTTGCAGACAATGGGTAGAGCGGTGAACCTACAGAAGATAGTTCGCCATAGATGTCATCGACGAGGAGAGAGCAGAGCTCAACCGCATGTTTTGGCTATTCACGGAGTCAGTCGTAGGTTCAATGAGAAAAAGTAGGCGGCAGCGATGAATCTGCCCGAAGCAACTAAACTTACTCTAGACATGATTTTTGTTGCTACTAGAGAATTATTTCAGTATCCCTAGAGCTTCCACAAGTACTACCTGTATTTCATTGACAAAATGGAAGATGTTGAATGAAATTGTAGAATAGGTATTTCGTAGAAATTCGAGATTCTCGAATACTTAGAAATTACCTAGAAATTTTGAGGTGGGGGACCAAAGATCAAATGGGCAAATCAAAATCGGAAGGGATCGAATTACACAAACCACTAAGCCTTGTCAGGACTAGTGTATTTGTTCCGAGATCTTCCAGCGAAAAGAACAGTAGGATATTGGATCAAAACGACCTAATCTTCCAAGAATACCGAGTTTCCCCTCCTCAACGAACATATTCAAACAATGATCTCACGGTCGGCGATTGGACGACACGCACAGCTTGCTGTTCGCAGGCAATGCTGTGCTCAGCCAGCTAATCGTCGCGGCCTTGCTGCCGTTTCCTCCGGATCAACCTCATTCTCATACGAATCATCTGATGTGGCCGGAGTCAAGGTTGCAAGCAGAGATGTTGCTGGAGCTACCACAAAGCTCGCTGTCGTTGCCAAAGCTGGTACCAGATATCAGACTGCACCAGGTTTGACATCAGGGTTAGAGCGATTCGCATTTAAGGTAAACTTCTATCATAGCGAACAACCCTCGCGTTATATTACACTTTTTTGGCAACTAACTTATAAATCTCAATCTAGAACACATTGAAACGATCCGCCCTTCGTATCTGCAGAGAATCTGAGCTTTTGGGCGCACAATTGAACGCTTACCACACCCGTGAGGCACTCGTCGTGGAAGCCAAGTTCCTCCGGGAAGACTTACCATACTTTACCGAACTCCTTGGTGAAGTAATCTCAGCTACAAAGTATACCCGTAAGTCTAAAGAGAAGGATGCGAGGTTGGCGCCAACTAATTGAACACAACAGCCCACGAATATCACGAGGAAATCGAGCACCAGATCAAATTAAGCCAAAAGAAGCTCCTTGGAAGTGTATCCGACCTTGCTATCAACTCTGCACACGGCATCGCATTCCATAGAGGACTCGGAACGCCTCTCTTCCCGTCTTCATCTACACCTCTTACGAAATACTTAAGCTCGGACTCCGTTAACGAGTTTTCAAACCAAGCATACTCGAAACCGAATATCGCTGTTGTTGCAAACGGTGCCAGCCAGGCAGATTTGTCGAAGTGGGTAGGAGAATTCTTCACAGGTACTCATGCTGGACAGGGTCTTTCCGGTCCTGGTGCGACCAAATATTATGGCGGTGAGGAACGCATTGCCCATGATTCGGGTAATTCATTCGTTATCGCTTTCCCTGGATCCAGCTCTTTCACCGCAGGAGGATCATACAAGCCTGAATTCTCCGTCCTTGCGTCTCTTTTTGGTGGAAAATCTAGCATTAAGTGGTCTACCGGTTTCTCAATCTTATCCAAGGCTGCATCTTCATTTCCAGGAGCCAGCGCCACAGCTACTAACTTTGCTTACTCTGATGCTGGACTTCTGGCACTTCAATTCAATGGTTCTGCATCTGCTGTCAGATCAGCTGCTATTGAGGCGGTTAGAGCTCTCAAGGCGATTGCTGGAGGTGCCATCAGCCAAGAAGATTTTACAAAGGCTGTCGCCAATGCTAAATACAACGCATTAGAAGAAGGTCAAAATGTTGAGGCTGGTCTTGTCTTGACTGGCTCTGGTCTTGTTCACGGCGGTAAGGCATTCCAAATTGATGAAGTTGGTAAGAAGGTCGAATCAGTTAGCATTGAGAAGTTGAAATCGGTATGTATCTCTTCATTTTTCACTTGTCACAATGCTTACATTTTATACAGGCTGCCAAGACGATATTGGAGGGCAAAGCTACAGTTTCGGCAGTTGGTGATCTTTACGTTCTTCCTTATGCAGAGGAGCTTGGTCTTTCCGTATAGAGCTAGTTTTTCAAGATGGGATAACAGGGTTTATATCAAAAGCTCTTAAAGTGTATTGTAGATATGATGCTCGCTGTGAATATATGACTGATTTTCTTTGATGCGGGTGATGCTTTCTTCTAGATACTAGCAAGTAATTATGACGGTGTTAGATTATACCGGAGCTTTAGGAATCACCAATACATATGACAGCTCCTCTCTGCTACCCGGTCTCCCTGTACTGAGAATGGCGATAGTTAGAACCGTCACAGGCAGGCTCGGTTCCTCTGGTCACGTGACCTCGGGAATTTTCTCCAGTTCTTCCCGCGCTCCACCACAGGGTAACAGGCACGGCAGCAACCTTTCTTCAGATTACATCGTCCCAATTTACATATCTCTCATCATACACAATGACGTTTGCGTGGAAAGCCTCAGGTCTCACGTACGTAGTCGCAGTCCACCAGTCTTCTTGTCACTCTTCTACCTTGTGCAATTGAGGACGCTGGCGCCGCGCCCCGGAAAGGCTTTTACTGACATGTTTCCGTGACTATAGCTACAACAAGTACTTGTCCGTTGCCGCACGAACTCTTCGAAGAAGTTTGAAAGATGACAAACGGTTGGCGGCTGAGCGAAGAGGGCAGATGGAATTGAGATTCGCCAAGTGGACCGTGAGTGTCTCCCAAGTCTCTCCGAACAAATTGAGGGGGGTCTGGCTAACGAGGATTCTTGGACAGAACGGCAAGCAAGGCGAGATCAAGAACGTCGCGGAGGTCAATGCGGCATCGATGGCAGAGGCTGCTTCGCCATCATCTTAGACGTGGATACATCACTTTCGGAAGGCTAGGAGGGAGGAGGGGACGAGCTGCGCGATGAACAAATGACAGGGCGGACTTGTACATTTGTATCATTTGGGGCTATTGGACCAAGGCAATTGAACAGTCATATCACTCCCGCGAACTCCCTGGTTCATTCTATATTCTGAATCGCATCATCTGGTCCTGCCTGACACCTCCATGAATTCCATTTTTGAACTTGTTCCTCTCTTACATAGAAACGTTGAACTTTCCATAAAATCTCTCCGTGATGTCAGAAGATGTCAATATTCCCCAATTTGAACCCTAGTATCCTCGTTCTTAAAAATGGTGTAGTACATGTTATTCATACATGAAAGCTTATTATTATCATATAGTACAGAGACTAGATCAATAGGTGGAACACTATCAAATATTTTGCATCGATAGAAACGTTGATATCTCCCGCAATACAATATGAACAATTCTTTAATGTTGAATTTCTCTTCTGTGATTAATTATAACTAGTTTCCAAAATGAAATATTGCACTTATGCCACTTTCCGTTACTCGTACAAGCGAGAACTCTATCTTTCCTACAACATCAAGATAAAACACGAATATCTATCATAAAATACACTTGAATGCTCTGAACGGCATCATCTGCATTATAGCCATGCATAATAACGGCGTAGCTGCTATCTCGCAGCGTAAGTACTCTCTGTCTCTTAATAATACTTATCGCTGACGTCTGATTTTAGAAGTCTCGGATCTTGATATTGATCAAGCTCCCAGTGACTCGGCGGCGATGATGGCGGCGTTCAATCCGGAACAACCACCCGCTCCCAAGTTGTACAGCAAGGGTGTCATGATCACGAACATTACCCATAACTTTACCAATGCTGCTCACCGTGTGTTACCAACTACAACCTCAAAATGGCTTTTGGGGTCGATCACGTGCTAATGATTTGCGCATAGAGCTCAAGGTAGGAGACCTGGTCAAGGATCCGTTTTTCACGCTTTTTGATGCTGTTGCTGCTCTGGAGGTTTGTATCCTATACTTAACAAGTGGCTAAGTTAACCTTTGAGTACAGATTATGGATCCTAAAATGGATAGTGGTTATCTAGCCCCTGGCGAGACCATGGAAGACGATTTTGAGTTTGCCCAGGCACTACTTCCAGAAGAAGTTTTGGGTATTATTGATCAACTTCTTTGTCATGAGGTATGACAATGTATGATACAACCAGAATGCCAGCAGTCTGACTATGTGTAGATGGCCTGGCACATGGGACACCCACTTGCTCAAACAATCTTTACCAGCTTATACATTGACCGACTCCTCCATCCCTCACCTTCAAGTCTCAATGAGACACTTTTTGACAAAAGCAAGAGCTGCGCTGGAGATGAGCCTTTAATGTTGCAGGTTCTGAGAGCATACTGTCTAGGTTTGATAAAAACTTGCTGGTATGTCAATAATCGAGTCAGGTCAGAACAGTTCTACGAGGTATTTACCCATTTCCCACCCTACCAATCTCATGTAATTCTTACACAGATCCAGGAGGAAGATTTTGCGACCCATACTTTCCATAGAAATCTCCTCGAGGCTATAGACCACGATGGAATTCTTCATTTACTGGAAGAGACTAGGGAATTAGTTTTGCAGACTCAGACCATACCAGAGGATATGAAGAACGCTCTCACGACTCGTCTTGCCTTTCGGCATAGTTTTCTGAGGACTGTTGATACAGCGGATTCAAGATCTCCAGAGGCGAAACTGTTTTGGCGTGAGACGTTTTCCTTCATACTCGATCTGAGATCGTCCAGCAGGCTTGCAAAGTCTGTCCCCCAGTCATTTAGTGTGAAATTACAAAGAAAGTTAGCAAGTACTGTTCCACCACGGTCAATTATTGAGGTGAGTCAGCAAAGTGCCTACGAGCACCTGGAGAGGATGTGTAAAGATGGCGAAATCGCACTTGATATACTTGATTATGCCGATAGTCACAGTCTTATGGTAAGTACAATACCCAACATTGGTGATTCTCTAGACTCGTTTGCTAATGATACATTTATATAAGACTTTCGTTTCATTATTCCAAGCACGGAAACCCCAACCATCCGTCTACATTCGGACTTTACTTCAGTACTATATGTTTGCGGATATGGTAATACTGGGCAAAATGTCCATCCGAGAAGTTCTCGATGATGATCTAGCTAGTCTTACCTTGCCCGCAAGCCAGCTCCTAGATCGTAACAATGATGAAATTGAAGTCACCCACGACCCACGATTTCATATGGCTCAAAGAATGGAGTTATTTCGATCACGCGCGGCCAGCATATACATTGACATCTTGCGCACCATGTGTCAAAATCGATGTCGTATAAGGCGAACGCTTTGTCACACTATAGTTGACTGGGATAATCTTCAACTTGATGGCGAGGAACTTGACCAGGAATTAAGAGAATTCACAAAAGAAGAATCATTTATAGACCTCGATATATCTAGTGATCCCATTTACGCTTTCCCTCTATCGTCTTGGGCATACTATTATAAGCTTCGCCAAATGGAATGGATAGTACAATTGGGCTTTGAGCTGCAGATTTACCAACCAGATGAGTTGTCGGGAATGTACTACTATCTCAATTACCTTTGTAAGACGCGAAGTCGTCATCTTGAGCGAATCCGAAGCGAAGTCATGCGATCCTACTCTGCCCGCCGCAAAGAATCACAGCTCGATACTAGCCAGCAAACGGAGTTCGCGAATGCAATCTCTTACATCAACTTCTCCATGTTAGAAGTCACTTCCGCATATGGTTTTGCAGACGCATTATCGTCACTATTTGAAGCCCTTCGTCGGTTGAATCTCATACCTATACCGCCAAGGCCATACGGTGACGACATCATGCGTTACGAAGTTCGCATGAAACCCTTCTCTACGATTGGTCTCCCTGGACCCATCCCTTTCGATACGTTCACATATAACGTCACGCAGCCCACAGAGTCCACCCTTGATTTACTTGTAATCGCTGCAGAGGCCACTGCCGCAGCCAAGAAAGGCTTTGAGATCCTTAGTAGACTCAACCCTAAAGATGCATACTGTCGTGGTTCTCATGAAAGCTGGGCGAAGGATATTAAGAATTGTTTAAAAGCGTGTATCTTTACGGGTATTTCGATTGCAGCCGTCAGAAAGGCTATCCAAGCTGCGGGTGAGGACAGCAATGTGAAAATCCAAGTGGAAATACCAACAACTGGAAAAGGATATCATGATTGGTGGGTCGTGCCGAAAATTCTCCCCGGTCCGAAAAGGTAATGATCGGTTATCGATTTTCATGTTGGGCGGGGACTCGGACTTCATTGGGAGTGTGATTCTCGGAATGGGCCAGAACGTTTATTCAAGGAATTCGGACGTTTCCTCCGAAAGTTCGTAGCAGCCAGGCATGTGGCAATGCTTTCTAGAAATGTCACATATTACTGCAGTAGGTATGTGGCAGTGCTTTCGGAAGATATTACATCTCACTGCAAAACCGACGGACTGAACCCCAACCTCCGTTCCTTTTCTCGCTCTTGGAGGGTTTCAGATAGAATCAGCAAGTCAGGGAGTATGGCACAAGTGCACAGGCAGACTCTCTCATATCACACATAATTTCCACATCTTTGTATCCAAGTATCAACGTGATTTCTACGCCTTTGTAACAAAGTATCAAGTTGACTCAAAATTCGCCTCGCCTGAATCAACATGTGCTATCCACAACATACACAGTACAACACATAAAACCACCCTAAGCAGATTTGCATGCGAGCCCTACATAAAAGCATCGAAATCTAATTCAAGATTTCGATCACCATAAAATTTCGATCCCAAAAATAAACCATGCAATCGCCGTCCGCGAGTCAAGTACATTCAGAAATCATGACACTGATATCACGACCCCGACCCCCTCTCCACCAACCACTCTCCCCCAAAACCCGCCCCCCATAATTCCCAATCCTTTTGTTGCACATCTAAAATCCTGTCGGACACCTCGCCGACAATTCCTCTTTTCGATGCAAAATTATCTTGCAATTCATATGAAGATTCCCGGGAATGAATTAATCATAGATGTGTATTTGGGTGAAGACCCCTTAGCGTAGGCATGCGGACGCGGACAAAGGGCCGTGAAACTATATTCTAGATAGCTGCAGATGGAGTCTTAAGCGACGATGGGACAACCGATTCATATGTATGGATTAGCTTATGTCGCCAACCTCGCGCGACACCAAAGGGTGGCTGAAAGGGTTGTCAATGTATGGTTTGAGAGCGGCAGGTCTGGCTTTTCAGGGTCCTGATTATGGTGTGACTTTATTTCAGGGACGCGCGATGCGATGAGAAAATTGACGGATTATGGTCGGCACTGTTTTTGTCTTTCCTGTTGATGCTCCAAAAATTATCATAGGTCGATGAAAGCATATTGCCCAGTTAAATAATGATCAAATAACAAAAACGGGGAAGACACAGATGACTGCATGCCCTGATTTGCACATCGGTTATGTATAATGGATTTAGAGATGTAGGCATTCTGAGAGATGTACATATATGTATTTGTGATATAGAGTACTAGTCAACTTTTGTTTAAAGCCATAACGTCGCATCTTGTAAAGAGGGGGAGGGTATACGCAAAAGTCCCAACCAAAGAGAGTCGCTCAATATTCATCCTTAATCAATCTGCAGCCCCAATCTTAGACATCTCTATCTATATATCCATAAAATGCTGTCCTTCGGGGCCTCTTCTTCACCCCATAATGCATACGAAATACTCAGGTCATGAATTTGTTCCCTCATCCAATGCTGCGCGAAAAATGCAGGTTTATGCTACCCAACGCGGACCAATCACTCCCAATAATGCCTTCTTCTATCACCGTCTAGCATCCCGCACATGTCAAATTTTAGCGTCTTGGACCCGAGTTCACAAGTCGTCGTTGTTTGTTTAGCCAACTCTTTGGCGCATCTTGTCTACGCTGCAGCACAACATGATTACTTTGTAATCGACTCGTGAGATCATACCAAGCTGTGGCAATCAGGGTGTTTTCGCGAGTAAGGTTTTTCACCAAAACATCATTTGCAGCCTTCACATATTGTTCAATCAGTTGTCTGCACATACATACTTCACGTGATAATATAAATCTGAACGTGGAAACAAATATTGATTGGAATAGAGGGTGAGAATTTATTGATGATGGTGCTTGTGAGAACGAAAAGTCGATACGGTACCTTCTGCGCTTCTGGGTCCTCTGCCAAGACGAGTCTTCGTTGAAGATTTTGAACGGTTGATTCCTTCTTTTGAAGTTGCTGGAAAAAATATCAGTCGATGCCTTTATTATCAGATTGTGGTGGAAGTTTAGGTAATGGAGAAGGTGCTGGGTTTGATTGAGGGAGAGATGATGATGGCAGTTGTGCTACTGGCAAAACACCAAACGCTGCCTGTTCCCTGACAAGTTCTTCATCGTGTTGATGAGCCTGAGCGGCTTCTTTGGATTTCTTGGATTTCTTGCCACCGAAAAGTGTTCCGATTCGCTTGATTGCGGACTGTTTCTTTGGTGAAGTTGGTGAAGCTGGTGAAGATGATGGTTTTGATGCAGAAGTAATGTCCTCTCGACTTACCTCTTTCAATGCATCAAGGGCTGTTGCAGGCTCAGGATTCTTGCCTGTTTCTTCAGTGGAACTAGATGGCTTTTGAAAGATGGTCTTCAGTTGTTCCGAGAGCTTATCTTTGGATTTTAATGCTGTAAGAAGGTGAGACTGTTGGTCAACGTATTCTGCTCTAAGATCGTCATGCTGCGCCTGGAGAAGTGTTAAATCCTTCTCATATGAGGACGCTACTAATTGGTTCGCCTCTTTGAGCTGTTCTAATGCTGTGATCTCATCGGAATCCATAGCACTCACTGTCATCAGGTTAGTCAATGTTCCATGCATACCAGAACGTCGATGACCTACAATCTGCCCGTGCTCTTAACAGATCTCGCTCGCTGCTTGTCAGCTTCGCGGTAAGCTCGTATATTGCCAGATTCAATCTCTCGATCTCTTGGGTGGCGTCGCTGTATAATGATTGTCCGGCGGACTTCGCTCTCTCTCTGTGAAAATTGTCGAGTGTCAGTTGAAAAGGCCCAATATTCATCATTTTGTCGACTGCTATGACTAACGCTTCGTCTGTTGGGAGTAAAGATCTATCGCCCATGATCGTTGAAATTTGATCTTGAGTGACGGCGTGAGCCTCTTTCAACTCTTGTGTTTTTTCGCGAAGCCTTCGGACTTCCATTTCCGATTTCTGTAGCTCGGTTCGAAGTTCAGCATTAGCTTTTCCACCATCATTACTCTTAAGAACCTGTAACTCTGCTCTCAGTCTTGATATCTCAAGCTGTGGGTTCGGCTCGTGTGGACTATCACTTCGATTAAGTTCATCTTCGAGACTGAGCCCTCCCGATGGCTCTTCTGGCGATTGTGAGGCTACGCGTTCGTGAAGCTCATTGATGTACTTCTCATCATGTCGTTGCCTTTCCAGATGAACATCTATCTCTTCCAGACGCAACCTAAGCTCTTCTTCTAGGCGCATGGCCTTACTTCTAAGATCAGTTATGGAATTCTCCTGCCCTTCGAGTACTTTCATATATTCGTTACGGGTTGTTTTGAGTACTTCATTTTCCATATGAACCTTGTCATAATCCTTCTGGTTTTCTTGTAGTACATCTAGCTGCTCACGTAACCTTGTGTTTTCCCGTTCAATAGCGTTTTGTTGGGCAAGTTTCTTTTCATAATGATCCATCTTGTTCGCTCTCTTTGACAAGGCAGAATTCTCGACTTCGAGTTCTTTAAATTTGTCTTGAATCTCTAAGTCCCGGGTATGTTTGACCGATAATAACTCTTTGTTCTTTAGTTCTCTGTTTACTCGAGCGTCTTCGAGCTGCTGCTCCTGGGAGGCAATGATCTTTTCTGAATCCTCGAGTCTCTTTTCAAGTCTCAAGATGTGCTCGTTTATGCCTCCATGATTGATAGTCTCTTGTAGCTGATCGATTTGTCGTTCCTGTTCCTTGTTTTCGTCTAATAGATGATCTCGGCTTTCTGACAGGTTTTCCAAACGAGTGATTAGGTCAGCATTGCGCTTTTTCAATGCTGCGTGGTCAGTAACTACGGCGGAAAACCTTGCTTCCAAATCCAGTTCGTCCTTTGGATTAGTATCATGATGGCTTGCTAAGCTCGGCACAGCACCTTCAAGATCCTTCTCTATCTAAAATCACGGTCAGCGCCCTCGTAATATAATACATGAATATTTTAACTCACTGTTTCAACATGGGCAGCGATCACTGTTTGCACAGGCAAGCTTAGCTTCTTTTGGATACGGTTGATATATCTTTTCGGGTTAGGACCTTTTAGGGCGACCAGTAGGAATATGGTGATAAGCTGAAATATCCTGTTAGTTATGGCGATGTTGGCTCTCGTTCTAACTTTCTCTACTACCTTCATCGATTCGGTGGGATCCGAGTATTGTGCCAAAGAATTGAAATCGATCGGATATTCGACAACCACTGCGTTCACTGAATTGTCACAGTTCTCATTTACATATTTGACAAGGGACTTGTAGACGGCCTCGAGGCTCTGTTTGGCGGCGACCCATTTTGTAGAACTTGTGGATTGCGGAAGATCTTTGACGGCGTATGCGGGGTCGAAGTCCTCTGAATTATATAAAATCAGCATCCAGATTGAGGGCGTATATAGGATGGTTAATGGTCCAAGTACATACCCAGCATATCAGAAAACACAAATCCATCGGTCAAGTCTTCTATTGCGGTAATGTTGGTCGACCCGGCAGGAAAGGTATTGACCTAATTGCGAGTAAAAGTTAGCATTAGAAAAGGAGGGCGTAAAAGCATAGCATTGAATCACATACCCATGCCAATAGAGCTGCCCTTTGAGTATCATTAGGAGGCTCCAAACTGGAGGGCATTTTTCCTTTGTTGACAGTAAGCCGTTTCTGCGGTGGGTTCAGCGGTGTAACGAGAATGCGAAGAACTGAGTGATGTTGAAGTCTTATCGTGCAGGAGCGAGATGCAGGTGAATTTCTAGATTACACGAAAATGTTTAGTGATGGGACCCTGCGAGGCTCGGGAGTCTAGATGTTTTGCTTTATTGGTTCTTGTAATGCTGGATTGTCGCAGTCATTTATGCCATTTCAGTTCCCATGTTTCATTGTCTTGAGTGTATTAGTTACACTCAGTACTTGTATCTGTACCTTTTCATTCATCGCACTTTCTTCGTACCACGCCAGAGAAAGACCCTTGTGGTGTCAGTCAAAAGGGTTCGAGTCCTTGTTGAACATCTCTTTCACTTTGTGGGGTCACAGTACAATGATTTTGTGGGGAAAGCATACAGACTGAGAGAGCTTCTTCAAAGGAAGTAGAATGTTAAAAGAAAAGGAATATAGTCAAGAGGCCGTTTGCGGCTATATAACAGGGAATTAGAAGGTCCGGTGACATCCAGTAAAGTTTCCGGATGTACTCTAGCTGATGAGAGAAGTGGTAAAACCCGGGGCTATTTCTGCAATAGTTCTAGAGAATCTTATCGCCATGAGAATATGTGCAACTGGATGTCTGAATCGACGCATTACTAAAGTCTCGGATATGTGAAAGGAATTGGATACATCCAATTCAATACATCCAATTCAAACTGTGCTTCGTATGCACATGTGGGAGATCTGTGAAAACCTATAAGATTGTCCTTTGATACTACTATTAACAATTCCGAATTCCAAGCAAGTAAAGCTGAAGTGTGAACTGGGGTTGGCTGACGTTGTCCGACCGATTACCATTATTTTGAATGTGCTGAGAATGTTCCAAGATCGTGAAATCCAATTTCCTAATGCTTCCATGAGGTCCATTGTTTGGGTCCCTCGCAATACCTGGTATTTCTTCTTATTGCCATATCTTCCGCCACTGATCCTGATTGCGCCAAATTTCACTTTCATCTCATCATTAACGTCGAGTCTCAATTGTTAACGGTGACAACCTGGTCCTCTTCGATAATAGCATGATAATCATTTCCCCATGTTTGAACAGAAACGAGGACTTGAGCTGGAGCTTTGGCAGCGAAACCTCTGTAAAAAGCGGTTAGATACAAGCATGGTCAATTTGCAGTAGGTGTGCTCACTTAATAAGTTTATATTCATGTGTGATAACACCTCCGGCAGCCCTGATCGCATCCATAGCCTTTTGTACGACATCATTTGGAGTATTGTCAGGATATGAAACAATCACTGCCTTTTGAGGTACTGCTGCGCTGCTCAACCCAGCGGTTAGGAATAGGAAAGTAGAAAATAGAGTAAGCTTCATGCTGGTTTAAATTTCTGGAATCTTGGTGTATCAAAATCAAAAATGATCGATTGTTGGTTGATAATTAGAAACGTCCTGTCTGAGGAGGCATATGACGATAGCTAAGGGCAACGGGTCGGCGCTAGCGGGGCGACAGCGCAATTATGTAATCAATCACCTTAAAGTTGCCTCAGTCATTACTAGTTAGTTACCTTGTACCTCATAAACTTTCAAGCAACATGGATGGAACCGATTAAACATCGTCGCATTTCTGCAAACGAACACCTTTGATCTTCAACTTCACACCAACTTGAACCTTTGAAAATATATCAAGAATACAAACTACAATTCGGCCATCAACGATATCAGCTCAGGCGACAACGACGGAACTAATAAACTGCGTGAGATCTGACTTTGGAATCGGGAAGGAGGATAAAGGCGTGGGACATCAAGCAATCTATCAGGGCTAGGCCTCATAGGAAAAGGGAATTGAATACAGAGAGTTGAGGGTTACAGAAGGCTATCAGAAGCATTGGCAGTCATCAAATACACACTTCTAGTTCTTCTCGAGTTGAATACTTTTGCATGGTACTAGTTAGCTGTTGTTTAAAAGCTCCTTCTTGTTTAATCGAGTCTTGGAGTTTGGTGGTTCTTTTGCGACAAAGACCTTTTTCCTGTGGTTGTCTTTCATCATCAAGATCATCATTACAAGCTTCTGCACCTTTGCAAATTTGCAATCCTCTGCGGCTTCCCATTAGCCCATCATGTCATTTGGAGTCCCTTCTGATGAGGTAGCGGAGGACTACAAAAAAGCCCTTGAAGATTTGACTATGAATTCGAGATATGAGATCAGCAATCTAACCGTTATAGCAAAGGAAAATACAGAACATGCTTTAGCCATCTCAGAGGCCTTGAAGAACCATATAAAACAGGTAGGACATATATTTTCATTTAGTAGTACTAGCAAAGTCTAGTAAATATAGTTGTGCTTTGCTTTGTGTCTACTTTTACTTCCATTACTTACGAATTGATGACAGACCTCTCCGCAAAAGAAATTACCTGCTTTCTATGTCCTCGATTCCGTAGTCAAGAATGTCGGAACGCCTTATACCCTCTTCTTCGGTCGACAACTATACTCAACCTTCATGGAGGCATATGCTTTGGTCTCCCACGATGTGCGAAGGAAAATGGATGAGATGCTGAAAACCTGGAAGGAACCTGTGCCTGGATCTATAGATACACGGCCCGTATTCCCTCCGGAAGTAACTCGTCCCATCGAAAATGCTCTCATAAAAGCCAGAACTTCTGCTCTCCAGCAAGAGCAATTGAGAAGTCAACAGCAGTTAATGAGTCGAGGTCGAACTGCCGTAGGTCAGGCTCCCTATCGTAACACGCCAACTCCTCCAAACTCATCTCGTCAACCTCTCTATCCACCACCCGGACATCCTGGATATCCTCAACAATACCCGCCCCCGGTAAATGGCCAATACAACAATCAAGCCAATGGCCATATGCAACATGGACTTCCTCAGGTACGTAAAGTGTCCTAATCTTCCTGCTTGATATTAATATTCTCAAGCGACCACCCCCAGTACAACAGTATTCTCAACAGTCAGACAGCTCGGCATCCTGGCAGCAGTCACAGTCTCAGGGATATCAATCGTCAGAGGCTAGCGTAGATGTATTGAACAGGGATATCTCCAATCTCATCACCTCTTCAAAGGCAGAATTTGCTCAGAGCCCATACGATAGTAGTATACAAACAAGACTGAAAGCATTGCTTGATTTGCAGACCATCCTACAAACCCAAAGGCTTCCATCTGATCAGATAGCAATGATAAAAGACCAAGTTGCGCAACTATCGCGGGCTTCCCAGCCGGCCCCAAAAATCACATCTCCTAGGCCAGCACCTGTAGCAACGCCAACACCCCAACCCCAGCCGCAGCCAACCCTAAGCTCTTTGCTAGGCCCTGGTGGCTTGGCTGCTCTGTTAGCCCGTCAATCTACAGCCCCCCAGATCCCCACGCCTCCCCCTCGAGCTGCTGTCGCAACCCGGTCTCCTCAAGCACAACTCTCACTACCTTTGCAAATGCCCTTTCAACCAGCTCCCCCAACGCCTGTTTCAGCATCTGTGTCAACGCCCACAGCAAATCCCAACTCTTTGCTGGAAAGACTTCGAGCTGCTGGTATGCTGCCCACAGTACCAGCAGTATCAAGCACACCCATCCAACAACCAAGTGTTTTAGGCGGCACTATTCCCCCTGGATTTCCCCCATCCCTTCCCTTCATAATTGCGCCTCCCGTGTCGAGGACACCCTTTCTTGAAATTCCTAATGATGTCGTCCTGAAGCCAGCATCGCTGAAAATGTAAGAACACTCATGTTATTAAACTTTACTCTCCTGCTAACGATCCCAGGTTCCGCCCTCACCTCATATTCAGTCTCTACGAAAAGCTTGGCGCACCATGTACCCAATGCGGACGACGTTTTCAATCAGACGCAGAAGGTCGAAAGAAGAAGACTGCTCACATGGATTGGCACTTCCGTGTTCACCAACGAATGGCTGAAGCCGAGAAGAGGGGCCAACATCGGAGTTGGTATGTTGATGAACTGGTAAGTAATCTCGCCACTATTTCTCTGCCAAAATCTAATACATCACAGGACTGGATAAAGTCGCGCGAACCAGAAGATGACCAATTCAACGATACAATGGATAATACTCATGGCTCTGGCGGCTCTTCTTCGACTGCGAATGCCAAGCCGAAACTTCAATATCTAGCGGTACCAGATGATCCTGCTCTTGCTGGCAGTGTTTGTCCCATATGCCAAGAGAAATTTGAGATGAAATGGCTAGATGATGCGCAAGAGTTTGTCTGGATGGATGCCAAGAAAGTGGGTGATCGTATCTATCATGGTAGTTGTTATGCGGAGGCCACGAAAGATAGGGGGACGCCTGAGCCAACGGTTCTGGGCAAGCGGAAGGCAGAGGTGAGATTTTCGCCCTTTTGATAATCATCATGGATGGTAACACTGACTTATGATAGGACCAAGAATCTGTATTACGAACGAAAATTAAAACAGAGTCATAATGAACGAATGGTGCGAGACTCTCTACACTTGTACTCTATCGACCTTCTTTACTTGGACCGGCCGAAGGCGCGAAACCAGGATGTAGGCTGATTTCTTGCATTATATGAGAGCTGGCGCATGTGCATGAATAGCATGTGTGGTGGAACATTGACTTATAAAATTAAATAGCATAAGAACTGAGGTGCTCATTCGAACACTAGACGATTTCAATTTGCAGACAGGATTCTAAATAGATACCATTAGCAAGATATGAAAGTACATGCTAGATGATACACCAAAATCATCAGAGTCCAAAAATATTTGTATGATGTTGATGTGAATAAATAGTATTACAATTTGTTCTCTTATATGACAAGTTTGATTAGACGATGTGCATATTATTACCCTTTATCCAAATACTCGAGTATATAATTCATCAAAGCACACTTTCCCCAAAAAGTCACTCCCACACTTTCTTCACGATGACTCGTTTTCTCCCTGGTATCCTCCCTTTCTTTCCCTCCAGCATCCTACCTTTCATACCCTTTCATTGCAGCCTCACCCCTTCCACGTCATTACTCTCTCTTCCAATCCATCTATCTTCTTGATATGATATCCGTCATGTCATACTCAACGATCGCTCACCACTCTTGGCCATCCTCAATAATAGCATGTTGCAATCGTCAATCCTGTCTCATAACCCTATTGTATCTCTTTCTTTACTCATGTCCACAAACCTCTCTGGGTCGAAACTACGAGTAGAAGTTGGAGAATCACTACATTTCATCTCTCGCTCATTTGTGATTTGTAAGGTGTTTGTTTGGATGGGAGAATTAATCATTGACGATGGTGGAGATGCTAGGAATTAATGTTTTGGCGGGGATAGAGGGGGGAGTTGTAGAAGTTGTGGAAGTTGTGGAAGTAGTAAGGAAAAACAGCTCGACGATGCGAGCGTTGCTGCGCTGGATGTTATGAGGCGAAATACGGGGAGGTGTAGCCTGTGAAGGGAGGTAGCGAGGTGGATGATATTGGGGAGATGGAGGGGAGGTTGCGGCAGGTGAGGTGGGATTTGTGGGAGACGGATGTTGAGGATATGGGGGGGGGGGGGGTTGGTTAAATTGAGAGAGGAGTGAGATGTGCTCGTGGAGGTTGAGGGTTGGTATGGTGATATGGTGGAGAGAGGATTTTAGGATGGCCATTTTGGGGAGGAGGGAAGTTGTTGAGGTATGTGGATAGGAAATCCTCGTGGAGAAAGTAAGAATAAGAGATATTTCATAAGTGTAGGATACATATGGAGATAGTGTACTATAGTAACATGTCGATAAAACAATGAGAAAGTCTTAAAAGAAGGCTAAAAGTTAAACCACCCTACAGTCTACTGTCTGTCGCATGAGAATGACAATCTTGCATTAAGCATTTGACGCGATCCTCAAGCCTCATAGCATTCTAAGGTGACCTTCCCAGCCAATGAGTTAACGTCTTGATGGACTTGTACCCTGTTTCCATGCCAAACCCTCAGAACAATCCATTTGCTCCTCGAAGCTGCGCCGTTAGAATTTGCATTCACGCGCGCATCAAATTGATTTATTGGATGGATCCATCGTCACGGATGTGAGCTCTGAACACTGAAGATGGATCATGGCCGTCCGATAATAGACATTTCGAATGGACTATGTAATCAGCATAAGAGAGTATGCCTCTACCAAGGTTTGTTATTTTAATAACTGATCCAGACTTCTGGAAACGTACGGAAAACAACACTCGAAAGTGGTAAAGTTATGGATAAATTCCCACTTTCTGATCATGTTGTGATAGTAGCGAGCAACAACTGTTGGAGACAATGCACCCAGACCACCGGTATGCACTTCGATATTTCGTACGAGAGTGTTACTGTTAGAATTAGGCATGTACGACAACACTGATGACTTCGTTACATTCTACTCCGGTCATAAGAAGTACCTCTTCCACACAATTCCAAAATTCAAGTCTTCTCGCGATAGGCCTCGTGTATGAATGAAAAAATGGATAAAAATTCGACATTACTAGCATAAGAGATAAGTAGCACGACCCAAACTCCAGAAGAACGCCGCCTTGTTACACCTTCGAGGTTCATCATTACTACAATCCACTCGTCTTCAGCCAATCTCCAAAACTTTGGAGTCCCGGATGTTCCTTTCTCAAAGAATCGATATCAGCCGCATATCCTTTCTCTTCAAACCAGGTGAACATAAATCCAACATCCTTAATCGCCCAGAGAAGAGTTGATCCAACAAAATTAAATGTTCTTGGGATATCCTTTCCCAGTCTCGACTCAAATATCTCATTCGCTTCTCCGAACGTCAATTCATCGCCTGCGATACTGATCGCGCGTCCATTGTATTCCTTCGGTTTCAGCATTGCCTGCGCCGCAAAGTATCCAATATCGGCGATTGCAACAAGTTGAATTTTGGTTGTCGGAGCCAAAGAAGCACACCAGGCGGTTGGGAAGATCTTGCCTGCGAGCCCTGGAGCAAAGTTCTCCATAAATGCGACCGGTCGAAGGATGGTCCATGCCATTTGATTTCCTGCGCATTTTTCTTTCAAATGTTTCTCGATATTGGCTTTGCTAATAAAATGAGGAACATTCGTAGGATCATTATCGGAATCCTTGCCGTGACGGTCCACGGATGTGAATACGAAGTGTTCTACGCCATGTTTTATTGAGGCGTCGATAAGAGCTTTGCCTTTCTCTTCTTCGCTCGCGCCTGCATTACCGAAGCCCATGCTTGGTATGGTTACGCAGAAGACGCTCTTGATGGGCTGAGGAGCCGCTTCGAAAATGGCAGGACAATCATTCAGGTCGCCTTGAAGAAGTTTGATCTTGTCGGATTTCTTGATTAGCTTCTCAGCCGCTGGTGATTCGAGATTGCGAGTTAAAGCAAATATGGTAATATCAGACGTTCCGACAGCAGAGAGAAGAGCATCGATTGTTGCTCCACCTTGCTTTCCCGTCGCTCCTGTGATGAGAAAAGTGTTTGACATTATTCTGATTTATTGATTTACTGATTTAGATATTTTACCAAAAGTGTGTTGTTGGTGTTGAGATGATTTGCTTGTGTTGTTTTCATTCACATTTATTTGTATTTGTCTTGCTTTGTTTATCAATTGGGTTGCTTTGGTAATGGTTGCTTTGTGTCACATCTGTAACACGGAACTCACTCAAACTTCATAGCTTTTACTGCATCTAGCTTTGATAGCCATAGTTCACCTTAATGCACCAGTGGCGCAACATTCTTGAGCTTATCTCCATAAAAACATCGGATTATATTGCCTTTAAAAACCTGATGTTTTCAACTTCCTTTGATAAAATCGCCGTTTTATCAAACGCAGTCGATTTAGCTTTAGTGAGCTCCTATCTTAATCCATCAGTATCCTAAGTACATAGACGAGCCGAGACTTTTGTGCTTCGTCGTTTCCAACGCAGTGGAACATCCTTCCCGACAACCAGATGCGGAGAATCATGTATAACACTTGGTCTTCGGAGTCCAAAAGTTGTTGGTAGTCATTCACGGTTCCAATTTCAGCTCAAAGCCGAAGGCTTGCAGAGAAACTCTGTGTCAGCCTTGGTATTAATCAAATCAGAGGGCATAAATATCCAGCGATGTATTTGTTACTATTTTGGAATTGATAGCTATGTGGCTCACACCCAGTCATCTTTCTTCTTTCTTTCAAAAGGCTGAAACAAACTGATTGCACCTCTTCAATGAAATTGGCGAAAGTCATCACTATTTACCATTGGCCGTCCTCACTGGAGCGACCGTGCTTCAAAGGCAGTATTATCGGGGTGCTTGGAGGCTACCGCACAGTGTAAATCAATGGCGTCGAGGCCATACCCCTTCATTTTACAAGCAGGCATGGTTCACGCCCAAGAGCCGTATTGACAGAGGCTCAACAGATGCGAAAAATCTTGCCAAAGACAAACACTTTACTGTGTTACTTCAGCCATGTTTTCTAAATTATGAATCGAAATTGATGCTTCGCCTCCACTTTTTAAGCTGCCATGTCATAGAAATGGTGACAGCAAGCATAAGTAGCTATGATATTGGAGGCTTAAGTTAAGACAAGGAGGCATATGGAAATATAAATAGGTAGGTAGGCATAGTTTGATGTGCTCTTCAACTGTCACATCACATCTAAGCATTTCATTTCGCTGTGCTATCTATCATCAAAAGCATATCTTCTTGGCTACATTCGCTTCAAATCACTAGAGCTTTTTCCATAATCTCAACATGCATTTCAATACTCTCATCGCAGCCTCCATTCTGGCAGCCTCTGCTTCTGCAACAGCACCAGAGGGTATGCCCTACAAATTAGCAGCCAAATCTCTCAATCCAGCATACGGACTCGTCAAGCGTCAATCGGGCTATCAACCTTCCCAGACTTTCTGCAGTGGCTACGGCGATTGTGCAGAGGCTTGCGGGACGGGCTACGAAACTTGTGCTTCGACCGATGGGAGCCTTCATTGCTTCGATCCTACTGCGAAAGAAACTTGTTGCCCAACTGGTACCGGTGGTATGTTCCCTTCTCATCTTATCACATGTGTCTATCTCATAAACATAAGCAAGAACTAACCCTGAACCGAAGACTCCTGCTCCGAAGGTTACTACTGCACTCAAGCCACCGATCTCACCGTCTGGTGTTGTCCAGATGGCATGGATCTCACCGCCTGCGCAGCCATCTACTCTCTAACCGGCGTACTCCAATCGGTTGCCCCTTCATCTATTGCTTCTGCAAGTAGTGTACCAACTACACATGCAAGTGTTACCACAAGTGATATACTTAGTCTTCCGGCGTATACAACATCAACTACATCGCCGGTTGGATCGCATGGCGCAACAAAGACGGGTGGAGGAAGTAATGTTACTTTGACGGGGAGTAGCACGGCGACGGCGACGCAGGCTGCTTTCACGGGGATGGCGGGCAGGATTTTGGGGGTGGATGGTTGGGTTGGAGGGTGTATGTTGGTTGCGGTGGTGGGGATGGGGGTTTTGTTGTAGGGTTGAAGAGGAGGTGTTGATATGGAATGGGGAGTTGTAATGGACTGAGATAATGAGAGCGAGTGGTGCTATGAGTGATTTTAAATTCTGTTAGTTGGATATAATTTAATCTGATGAATGATGAGTTTATTGAAATTGGTAGTAGTTATTGTACTTTCAGCTAGATGATAATGTTTATGTATGGCTTACATCAAATTGTTACCTTAGAATCATACTACTCTCTCTCTCTCTCTCTCTCTCTATCCATAAATCTCATCCCCGCCTCAACTTGATACGAATAGTCTGGTATCTCATCGCATAAGCCAGGGGCTGTCCGGTCCTGGTTTGGCTTTGCATTCGGATGGAGGGGATCAATCGTTTCACGTGTCACGGCCTCGATAACAGGAATTCTAGAACTGGGCATATGAGTGCTTGGCCTGAATTTTGAACGGCTTCAGCTTTGCAGACGAGGCTCGCGCTTTCAAATTTTCAGTTGCAGAGGATTGAGCTACTGGCTCTCTGCGACCGCTTGTTGGTTGAGTTTCTTGTTCTTGAGTGGAGTTTCTTGTCTTCTCGAACGGCCGCTTGTACATTTTTTTCTCCCGTCTCACATCGCATGGCCAAAAATATGATTGTAGATTTTGGGAGGTTTTTGAATATAAGAATATAAGAATAGCCAAAAAAAATTGAGGGGTGTGTAGCAAAATATTGAATATATCGTCTTGTTCGACAGGCAATGATGATTTGGCACCATACTATAATTATGCTGATTCAACAACACATAAGGAGAACTCATGAGGTATAGTAAAGAGACACAGAGCGAACGTTCATTCAAAGTCAAGTATCACTAGGTATCCTATCGTTCATGTCTTTGTTGGGTATAGAATAGAATACCAGGAGGAAAGGAACACGTTCCCGCATTCCTTTCGAAAGCGTAATTATCACGTGCCAAGGCATCGAGAACGAACAAAAAGTAAGCTTTGGTCATCTGAGTTAATCGTACCCTATTCGAATGACTTGTAATTATACGAACGGACGTATTATTCTTCAAATAAACCTTTCAAAGACATAGTGACCAACCAATGTTTGATCATAGTTGCAAAGAGGACTGACTTGATCTTCTATTTGATTTTAATAACCCTAATACCTAACTTCATTCAACTCAATTGAAGAAGTCAACCAGCCAACCAGCTCCAGCTTGTCATCCTGCGACCCCGCGACCCGCTTTTTAAACCCCAAAACCCCTCAAACCCCAACCTCCACAAGTTGATCTATCTATCCGAACATCTCCATCAATCCGCTACAATATTTCCCAGTGTCATCTTACAACGTTGTTCTGGGTATCTTTAACCCATAAATCAACAAACCACAAATAACCTTCCATATCCGTTTGACCGAACGACAAAGACAGAGCGCTTTGAGTTGCTTGCATTATCGAATTCCAAGATCCCCAAGATTAATCTGATCATACCTAAGCTTTTCTTTGGCTTATTCGTACCACCCCACACGTATCTTTCACATGCTCAAACGTTAACGATAAGATTTATCGGGCCTGGTTCCGCTGCTACCAAAATCAACCCAGACACCTTCTTATCCTTGCACTTGCATCGTGTAACGAACGATCCTTCATTATTCGGTGAAGTCAATCATACCCCTTGGAGAGTTCTCCTGAGACAGATTTACTCGTGAAGAAGAAAGAAAAGGCATAAAGGTATGCAAAGCTTCCGTTTTCGGTGTCATTATTGGGACTTTGATTGCCGAGCTTAGATTCGGAATATCATCCTAACTAGTGTGTGGGAGTGGAGACATGTATCTTGCATGGGCCATATGGCTGGATCAAGTTATCCAATAATATTATCCGTAGACAAATGCAGAACGCCAGATGCGGGGATATGGGATTGGCACTACTGCCTCATGATACAGTGCTTCATCTACTCGAGTCGATATAACCAAGGCTTATCGGTTGCTGCTTACCGCGAGGACTTGTTCATTTTCCATAAGACTGCTTCTCCCCCCAAGATGACTTGATGTATCTATGTATTGTAATGCCGTCTTATTTTCTTCACGATTGTCATTACTTTTACCGCACAGCACTGCGAGGCTTGAATATTTGCACTTCTATCTCTCCATTATACGCATAAGAGCATAAGGCTTCAAGCTGACCAAGATGTCTACCTCAACAACAGCTATCCGTACTTTAAGAATGCCAAAATCCTTGAATGAATCCCTTAATACATCAGATCAACCTTCTACAGCACCAGACGAACATCGATCAATGGAGGGGGCGAAGAGAGTCAGCGATGGCTACTCAAAGGATCAGAGAGATCCTCTTGCTAGTAACCAGCCAAAGCACGAGCAAGGAATCACTTTTGCTGCACAAGACAAATTGCCAAAGTTACCAATACCAGAATTGGACAGTAGCATGACCAAGTACCTGGCAGCTTTAAAACCACTGCAGTCACCCAGAGAACACTCAGAAACCAAACAAGCGGTGGAAGAGTTCCTGAAGAATGATGGACCGGAGTTACACGAAAGGTTGAAGAAGTATGCAACGGGAAAGACAAGTTATATTGAACAGTTTTGTATGTTACTTCCCTCGAGGGTCTCGAGAATAATTTCATGCTAACATACGCCTAGGGTATGACTCTTACCTTAACTTCGACAATCCCGTCGTCCTAAATCTCAACCCCTTCTTCTTACTCGAGGATGATCCAACACCTGCAAGAAACAATCAAGTCACTCGTGCAGCATCACTAGTAATATCCGCATTATCTTTCGTGCGTGCAGTCAGAAGAGAAGAGTTACCTCCGGATACAGTGAAGGGAACCCCTCTCTGCATGTACCAGTACTCTCGTCTATTCGGCACTGCACGCGTACCTACCGAAAATGGATGTCACATCGGACAAGATCCCGAATCCAAACATCTCGTCGTACTCTGCCATGGCCAATTTTACTGGTTTGACGTTCTCGACGAAAACTCGGATCTGATCATGACCGAAAGAGATGTCTCGATTAACTTACAGACAATTGTTGATGATGCTCGACAAACCCCGATACAAGATGCCGCCAAGGGGGCACTCGGTGTTCTTAGTACCGAGAACCGTAAAATCTGGTCAGGTCTGAGAGATGTCATGACTAGAGAGGAGGGTTCAAATAATGCAGACTGTCTTGGGATAGTGGACTCTGCCCTGTTTATTCTCTGTCTTGATTATGCAGAACCCAATTCCCAAGCAGACCTATGTCAAAATATGCTCTGCGGCACCAGTCAAGTTGAGAAGGGTGTCCAAATCGGGACATGCACGAATCGTTGGTACGATAAATTACAAATAATCGTCTGTGCAAACGGCAGTGCAGGCATCAACTTTGAACATACCGGTGTAGATGGCCATACCGTTCTTCGGTTTGCCAGCGATTTGTATACAGACACCATCCTCCGCTTCGCTCGTACAATCAATGGACAAGCACCCAGTCTCTGGGCATCCACCAGTCCGGATCCCGCCAAACGCGACCCCGCCAGTTTTGGAGATGTGAGCACCACCCCCCACAAATTAGAATGGGATATGATCCCCGAACTTAGCATTGCCGTTCGATTCGCCGAAACCCGTCTCGCAGATCTCATTCAACAAAATGAATTTCAAACCCTCGATTTTGCGGCTTACGGAAAGAATTTCATAACCTCGATGGGGTTCTCCCCCGATGCTTTCGTGCAGATGGCGTTTCAGGCGGCGTACTATGGATTGTATGGTCGAGTGGAATGTACATATGAACCAGCGATGACCAAAGTTTTCCTTCATGGAAGAACTGAAGCTATACGATCTGTAACGCCCGAATCTGTCGACTTCGTACAGTCATTTTGGGCTGAAAATCCCCCGGCACAAAAAGTAGAGGCGTTGAAGAAAGCGTGTCAGAAACATACAGCCAATACGAGGGAATGCGCCAAAGCGCAAGGATGCGATCGTCACTTGTACGCCTTGTTTAGCGTATGGCAAAAAGCAGTTGATGAAGATGGTGCTGAAACTTCGAGTAGTAATGGATTGAATAGTGACGGATATTCGAGTCCCGTCGATGCGGATTTGTCTCGAGATCCATCTGTAGTGGGTAGTCCAGGCCGAAATTCCATCCCAAGTGACGGCGATGAAGCCGAGCGTCGCTCAACCCGCGCACGAGGTAGTTCCTCCCCCGGTCGACCTCAACATTCCATGCCCCTCCTCTTCGCCGATGGTGGTTGGGACAAACTTAACACGACTGTCCTTTCCACCTCCAACTGCGGTAACCCCTCCCTCCGCCAATTTGGCTTCGGCCCTACCTCCGGCGATGGGTTTGGCATTGGATATATTATTAAAGATGAGGGCATTAGTATATGTGCCAGTAGTAAACATCGACAAACCAAACGATTTGTGGATGCTTTGGAGAGTTATTTGTTGGAAATCAGGAGGGTATTGAAGGCTGTTCAGAGGAGAGGCACCAGTCCGAAGACTAGTCGGGCAAGAGAGGCAAGTGCCAATAGACCGGCTGTGGGACATAAGTTGAAGAGTCGAGGGAGGGTTATCAGGGCGGCGGAGGTGGGGAAGAGGACATCCGGGACGATGACGCCGGCGGATGAAAGTGCAGCTGTTAGTGATGATGAGGGATTGGGTGGCTGTATGTTTTCTCTTTTTTCTTTTTTCTTCCTTTCTTTCTTTCCTCTCTCCTTCTTCTTCTTCATCACCCTTCACATTCCCACCCCTCTTTCATTAATTCACCCACACAACACAACAAAACTAACCCATAAACCAACCAACAGATGGATTTTTCGACGCAGGCATGCTTCTTCAAGCTTTGAAAGCTAGAGGCGAAGGCCCAGACGATTCCAACACGAGACCTTCTGAGCGAGCTAATGCCCATGCACGCAGGAGGGAAATCGGAAAGAAATTAAGGTTGAGTGAGTATTAGGTGTTTGGGTATTGGTTAGCTAGGTAGGTAGAGATGGAGAGAGATGAAGATGGGCAGATGGATAAGATGGATAAGATAAGGAGTGCGTACTGGGTGCTTGAAAGAGGATATGAGGGAGGAGCTTTGTGTATTGTTGAAGTATTTTCTTTTTATTTTCATTTCCATGTTGATATCGATACCGTTGATCATCTCTTATTTATCATTCATTCATTGCTTCGTTTTACCAAAGAATACGAGAATCTACAGTATAAGTAATGAGAAACTTCCCAATACATTGCATATTGTATGTACATAGCACATCTTTTACTCCTTCAAATTTCTCATACTACGGGTATACTCAGTACTTACTGAGCATGAAGAAATATGAAGTATGCCATAACACATTTCCTTCCCTTTCCCTCTTTCTCTACTCAGTACTACAGTAGAGGTTTTCTTAACATTACATTATATTATATTACATTACATTACTTATCTAGTAACCATACTTATATATTACTCGAATATACTATACGAGTAGTAATTTAGTGAGTAGATAGATATTTAAATAAAATAAGTAATCAACAAAATATGCATTCCATATTCGAGTCGATACACTACAATAAATACAATATAATACAACACAACACAACACGAGACGAGACGAAGCTCCTCTGTAATTAGCTATAAAATTAAATAAGGAGAAGAAAAAAGAAAATATAGATATTATATATATGATGCTGTGCTATTTCGAGATATATGTATATATATATATATTATATTATATTGGATGATTATACTTGAGTATATGGATATTTATATATAAAGTAAAGAAAAGAAAATTAAAGAAAATTGGAATTAGTTGTCGATATAGTCAGTCATAATATAGTAAGTGAGATATGTATAACTTAATTAGCCAGCCAGCCTCTTTTGAAACATTTTCTTTTGTATTTATTACTCGTATAAAGTTTGATATAGTTTGTGGATTACGAGTAGATGCGCAGATGAATGAATGAACGGATGAATGGATGGGATGTGAGATTACTATCTATTACTATTACTATTATATGTGTGTATTGTATAAAACCCCCCCTATAGAAACTTGAATAGGTAGGAAGAAGTACGGTACGGTTATAGGTTGGGGGATGAAAGTACGGAATGGGATGAATTGGATTAAAATTCAAAACAATTTTTTTTTTAGGTTTTATTTCTGTTATTGAGAAATTGTGGTGGTGGTGGTGGTGGTGATGAGTGATGGATGTGTGAAATGTGAGGTTTGAAATGTAGGATTTGCGAATTGAAGGAATGAGTAGCAGAGCAGGCAGGCACGCTAGAAGACTTACTTTCTATTTTATATATATATACGTGATTTATCAGTTGACTTATTATCAAGACATACTGTACTCGAGTACATACATACAGATACAAATGCAGGAGATAGGATAGGTAGATAACAAATATCGAGGTTGAATCTACTCGAGTATTGATAGAAATCACTTATCTTTGGAAGAAAAAAAAAAAAAAAAAAAAAAAAGAGGTTGGTTAACGATAACGATATGAGACATTGATATGGATGTCGCTAGTTATCATATGAAATCTTCCAGGCACTTGACCTGCTAAAGTTACAAGTGATGAAATGTAGAGTTACTGGATATGCAATGATAGGTATGGTATGCAATGATATACAATGTAGAGTTCGTTACTGGATATGCTATGTAATGATATATATACTCGAGTACAATGTAATGTAATGAATGCAATGTAATGATTACTATAAAGAAACTTCTTTACATGAAATACACAGTTGAATTGGAGATGTTACCAAAGAAATACTCGAGTACCAAAAGATCATGCTCCTTTCCCACGGGTTTCCCAAAGGTTTCCCAAGATTTGGCATTGAAATGGCTTGCTTACCTATCTTAGGTTGGGTGGTTGTGGTTGTGGTTGTGGTATGACTTAAAAATCAACGGAGAATACGAGACTCGGAAGGTCGTCGGAGAAAAGAAAATGTGCAGATGGCTTTGCTGGACTTGGCTGGACTGGACTGGACTGGCTGGCTTGGCTTGAGAAGAGTACGAAGCTTGTATCGTACTGGAGCGGAGATTAAAACAAATATAATGATTAGAAGACTTTTGAATAGTGTAGAACTAAAAGCCACCATGAAGAATTTGCCGGTTTTCTTGGTGAATAATAGCAACGAGAATACAAGTACTAAAGTAGGTAATGAGAATGAATTGAAAGATTTTGAGATGGATTTGCGGATTCATTCTACTCATACCTACCTAGTTCTTGTACATATGAAAAGGTTCACTTGTAGAAGCTATAGAAGTAGTAAGTGGATAATTCTTTTGAATCTCTTTTATTTTCTTTCCATATGCCACATGGTATAGATGGTCCGGACTCCGAATTTTGACTTTAATTCATAGGTTGGACCCTGTTCTTAGTTGTTCTGTAATCGTAAGCAGTTAGAACTCATAGAGCCGACCGAAGCTTGAATTGAGATCAATACAACTCAACAACTGTACAGTAACACGAATTCGGTACCGTAATAAAACCATTACATCTACAGGTCTCCCCTTACCGTTTGCTTGCGTGCGCGATTTCTTTCTGAGCTATATTGAATTGTCCGATGCGATGCAATATGTACTGAGGTACAGTATTATGCAATGTGCAGTTTGTCAAACCTATTATACAAGAATTATGCATGCCCTGCAGTAAGGTCTTGTTTCGAGATGCGCTCGCTATCTCTGTTTGGATTTTTATATTTTTTCACCCTGCATATAAAAAACTGCAGGTTTTTTTTTGGTGGTTTTTCCTTTGTTTCTTCCTTCTTTTCAATTTCCACAAATGAAGTGAGGGGATGAATAGTCTTAGTGGAGAGTTTAAAACAAGCTAGGGAAACTCGGGAGGTAGAAGGAAAGCGGTTGATCCACTGAGGTTGATCGGATCGTCCAGACAAGCTTTGGGAATTGATTAATTAATGAATATATTAACCCCCTGGATCATCCGATGGAATATGGATCAAGGAAACTTGGAACTTGGACTTTTTGCGCAGACAGAACAAGGCGATGGATGGATGGATGGAAGTACGTGAGTGGGTGGATATTGAGGGTAGGGTACTACTAGGTAGGTAGGGATGATGATGATCCTTGGCGCGGAGAATGTCCATGTCCATGCCCATGCATGTGTTATGTCCATGTCGTTGAAGATGAGTTCGGTCAGTGTTGTTGATGGATGAAACTTACGAACAAACGGGAATGGCTCGCTCACTCAGCCACTGCGAAATGATCCCGAAAAGGGATCAAAGGTTTCTTGTATCGGAGGTTGTTTAAAAGGATGCATTCGAATACGTGACTCTAAATGATCATATGGGTTGAAAAAAAGAAGAGAAGTTGTGGTGTTGTAGCAAATCCTAGTATATATCATACACACCAGCCCATGCAGTGACACGACTAATTCATATGAACCAGCCAAACATCAAACACTGGTACCTGACTATCACTTATAGTAAGGATTGTCCTTATCGGTTTTATCTTAATGTTATCGTGTACCTGAGTGTAAAATCTGCACGCACTACTGTATAGAGTACCTGACTAGAGTTTCTAGACCTTCTTCAACCAAAAGCCGTCTATTATTCCATTTTGGTCCAGTTAAACTTGCTCAAAATGAATGGATATGAATTCATGTTGTGGATTTTGAAAGAAAAACACCGGATGAATTTTATTAATTCATTCATCATCCCGTCCCGACCCCCTCCCCCCCCTTGTCGTTTAAATCTCACACGCATGCTTGCGTGTACTCCTTACCCTAATTCGTTGATCAACGACTGGCTAGGTTTTCACTTCCCTCCCGCCTCCATCTCACTGGGTAAAAAGAAAAGAAAAAAAGGTGTCAAGATTCTCTGTAAGTTAGGGTTGCAATACACAATAACTTGGCACCTACTTATAGACATAAGGATCACCTTTCTCCCCCCCTCGTTTCCCTTCTTCTCTTCCCTTTTCACAGCCCTCACGTTACCTCTCATTTGCAACGTCCAGTCTGGCACTTTCTCATCCCATTCCATCCCATCCCATTCCATATACCATTTCGTATCTTTGAAAGATAGCGCAGGAATTTCCATCATCCAATTTCATTCACTCATTTTAACGTTTACGTTTACCACGCCTTTACGTTATCTACGAACGAAATCTCAAATTACAAAATAAAAAATACGAATATCCCCACCAGAGATTAACCTTAAAGTCATCAACACTTTGAGATCTCACGTTCCTCCTCTCCTGTCTTACTTACTTCTCAACCCTCTCTTGATTGAAAGTAAAAGTCGACTCACTTGTCCTTCCTTACATTCATTGATTGAATCATCACATTCCTTCACTTTTCCATCAAACACTCATCGAGATTGTTTGTTTAGCAAAAACCACATTCTTTTCCGATTCAGTCATTTTGAATATCAAATAACTCAACGACAAGTCATTCTTCGCTGTCCAAGTCTACCTTTTCAGGAATACACACAAATACATACATAACACACAAGATTTAAACAAAAAACACAATCACTATGCGTTCATTCGAGATCAGATCCCTCGCCATCTTGGCCTCCTCTTTGCTGGTCAAAGAAGCATTCGCTGCCCCCATCTACGAAACCGAAATTCAAATCGTCACGGAAGAAATCACCGTCACCAGGGAACTCGACGGTACATACGAGACTGGTCTTCCTCATGCTGTGGGAACTTACACTCAACATGTATCCGAGGTTTCCTCTTCTTCCTCGGCTGTCTCTATCTCGGTCCCATCTACTTCGACAACAGCAGCAGTAACAAGTATCGTGGTTGTTCCTACCACTTCTTCCACTAGTCATGTGGCTCCAACTACTTCCGCGGTGGTGGTTTCGAGCTCTGCTGTTGTAGTTTCTAGCTCTACAAAAACTTCTTCCCCTTCTTCGGTTGTGGTCGTCTCTAGCTCTGCTAAGGCCTCTTCCACTTCTTCGGCTTCAGTCGTCAAGATCTCAACCGAAGCAGCAGCAGCAGTTTTCGTTCAAACCAAAGCAGCCACTACAACTGCCAAACCCACCACCCTCGCTACCTCCACTGCAGTCAAAGCCTCTCCCGTTGTCGCAGTCTCATCAAGCTCCTCCTCCTCTGGCAAACGTGGCGTCGCCTACAACACCGCCAACTACGTGGGCCAATTCACCGGCTCCTCTAAAGTCTCCTGGGCCTACAACTGGGGCAGTGCATCCGACGGTCTCTCTGCCTCCGGCATCGAATTTGTTCCTCTCCTCTGGGGCATGAAGAGTAGCTTTACCGGTGCCTGGTCCGCCGCCGCCAGCAGCGCCATCGCCTCTGGCTCTCAACATCTCATGTCCTTCAACGAACCCGATCTAAGTACGCAAGCCAATCTCGGCTATGCGGACGCAGCTGCCGGATACAAGACATACATGCAACCCTTTGCCGGCAAAGCCAAGCTCGGCGCTCCAGCCGTCACCAACGGTGCGTCCCCCATGGGACTCACATGGTTGAAATCCTTCATGTCTGCATGCACCGACTGCACCATCGATTTCGTCTGTATCCACTGGTATGATTCCGCGTCCAACGTCGCTTATTTCAAGAGTTACGTGCAGGATGCGTATACGGCTGGAGGCAACAAACCGCTCTGGATCACGGAGTTTCAGGCAAGTGGCACTACAGACGAACAGAATGCGTTTTTGAAGGAGGTGCTTCCTTGGTTGGATGCCTCGACTATGGTGGATAGATATGCGTGGTTTATGGCGAGTACGGATGCCGGTGGATTGATGAGTTCGTCGTCGGCGTTGAGTACGCTGGGGAATACCTTTAAGACTACTTAGGTGGTCATTGGAAATGAAATTGAGATATGAGATATGAGGTTGGGAGTATTAGGATGGGTGGATAGGATAGGATAGGATAGGGGAATGGTTGGATATAAGATTGTGTTTTTGGAATGGAATGGAATGGAATGACTGGCGAAAATCAAAAGGCGATATACCATGACCCGATACCCACACATACCACATCACACCGGTACTCGTATCACCAAAAGAAGAAGAAGAAAAAACCATCTGAAAAAAACCATTCTTCACATCTTCAAGTTCAATGTAAATACTTTAGTCACAGTCAATGTTTGCAAAGACAGAAAGAAGCTGTGGATGATTTTGATGCGTGCATAGGAATAGGAATAGATACTGTTCCTAAAACACGACTTCCTAAAACACGACTTCACAAACCACTGTTTCTCTTTCTCTTTCTCTTTTTCTTTCTCTTTCCCATTTCTTGGATTGAATATGAGTATATGAATATGAATATGAATATGAATATGAATATGAATATGAATATGCAAAAGTCACTCCACTCTACTCGAATACTCGAATACTCGTATATTAGTGACTAGATACGAAATCATCACACCACTTCACTGTATACAAACTCGCACCCCAAACCCAAACCCAAACCACTTCCATCACGCGCACACTACTCAGTAGTCAGTAGTCAGTAGTCCTTCGAGCCTTTTGAGTTACTTACTGTACGAGTAAGTAAGTACTTGAAAGAAAAGTTGAATCTCTCACTTACGAGATCAATGTCAATATCAATACCATACCATACCATACCCACCCATAAACATCATTTGACAATCATCCAACCATCACAACCCATCATCAATCAAATCAAATCAAATCAAATCAAATCAAATCAACTCAACTCATAAGATTCCATCCATCTAGCCTCCCTCCCTCCCTCACCTCCTATCTACAATCTACAAATAAATCTCCTACCGTATCTTCCTACTTACTCGTAGATTATCTAGCCTAGGCCCTCCCCGGCGTCGAATTTTGAAAATAAATTATTTTATTTTCATTTTATAATACGAGTACGGTATGAGTATAGAGTATTGCTGGTGGAGTTTTAATACGGTATAGAGTAGGATCGGTGCTGGGTTGGCACTGGTATTATTGATGGGGATGGGGATTATGAAGCGAAGAGATGAAATATTGGTTATAGATTAAGCCCCTTATGAGCAGTGAGCACCCACCTATCAATATCTACAGACCCTCTTCCTCATCTTCGTCTCCGACCCCCTTCTTAACAGCAACCATACCCTCTCCCCTAATTTCAAACTCCACACTCCCATTTAACCCCTCCCCACTTTCCATCGCCCACCCCGCAAAAACTACTTTCATCCATCGTCTCCACCTTCTCAGGATCGCTTCTCCTCTCTCTCCTTCTTCCATTATTTCGCTTCTTCCTTGTCCATAGACGGGTTTTTTGATAAGTGCTATTCGACATGCTATTTGCGTTGTCCATATTAAGCCTAAAGCGGGAGTTTTGACGTTTTTGGATGAGGTGTATGAGGGATGTGGATCATCACCCCAGCCCGTGAACCATCGCTGTTGATGATCCAGTGACATAGGATCTGGTGTCATAATGGAGTAATCTCGAGATCCGCTTCGATCACCCATAGTACTACCAGGTATACTTGACATCGGAGCATTCATTGAACTCGACGGTATTGGCGCACCTCTATTTGTGCCTAAGCCCCTTCTCGCAAGTGGGCTGCTCTGCATGTCCCTTTCTCTCTTCTGGCTGAAAGCCGATGGACTTACCCTTCCACTTCCGCCTGTAAACCGATCAGCTACTTGATTAGCGACTACAATAGCCACTCCAAATTCCCTAGCTAAATCTCTCAACAATTGTCCCAGTTTGACCAATTCTGCACTTCTTTGAGCCATATTTCCACCTCCTTTCGTCATGCCAGGTCTTTCGAATTCAGCTCTGTAGTTTGCGGCTACACTATCCAATATGAGTAGTCGAATGCCGTGGCGTTTTATAGCAACAGGGACTTGAAAGCGGAGGATATGATCTTGAGATTCGAGGTCGGGTGTTACAATCGATATTATTTTGTCAAGGGAAGGTGGAGATGGGTGAGAAGAGAGGACAGGGTGGGTGCGTAGGAGTTGGGACAAACGGGTGGTGGGAAGAGAGGATTCGGTTGATATGTATAGGGTCGAAGCTGTGATTCCATGGGGTGCGGGAAGTTGAGCAGAGAGGAGAAGTGTTAAGAGGAATTGCGTTTTGCCTGCGCCGCTGCGGTTTCGTATTAGCTTAGTCCAAAAAACTGTGTGCTCTTGGAGTACCGATGAGAACAAAAGTAAACAAGGGACAAAAATGAAAATCAGAGACAAACCTCTCACCTGTAACCTCCGTAATATAACCCGTGGGAATCCCACCACCTAACGCGCGATCTATATCATCATCCAACGTACTTATAACCTCCCACTCATCCACGATTTCCTTTCCCGACTTCCTCAACTTCTCTCTTCCCCTCCCATCTAAATTATTTATAGCCTCTCCAGAGCCTTCATCTCCACGCTCCACCTCACTTATTCCAAGATCTCCCCTCAAATGTGTCAACACATCCGCACATAATCTCTTGACATCCAATAGCGGTAAAGTCGCACGTTTGGCTATCTCGACACAATCGAGCGTGAGGAGATCAGCGACAGTAACAAGATTCTTCTCGAGTGAGGGCAAAAGTCGCACATATTTTTGAGTGGGAAAGTGAGGGAGAATGTCTAGGAGGTCGGTCATGGAGGCATATGGGGGAAACTTGGACGGCGTGGAGGAGGAGTAGAAAATCGATGGAAAGATGGTGGAACGCGAAGGGTTTCGCCTCGCGTCGTTTGAAGTTCCGTGTTCACGTGATCCAGTAATGTAATGAGATTAGCTTTGTCTTTTCCCTCTCTACTTCCTTCACTTCCGGAAGAAGCAATCATTCCGCAGAAGATTTAACAAGAAGACTTTTAGTATTGGTAGATAGCTAAAAATCAGGAAGTGCTCAATTCGACGCCTACACTTGCTGGAGGAAGAGTATAAGAAGTCATTGTATCAAACCCCCTTATTCCCTTCTCGTCAAAATTATATATCGATTAATATCTCAGCTATCTCACCACACAGAATTTCCACCGTGACGCAGCTTCCATCACCTACAACAATTATCATCCTAATCTCACCAGGACCCTAATAGATCATCACAAGCCCGAGTTTTGGAATAGTTTGGAGTGAGCCATCATCGCATTTTAGTCCTTAATATTTCCTATTCGGATGATTTTCCAATAACTCTTTAACTAAAGAATGTGTTTATATCTTTGCAAGTGACTTGAACGATATGATTTGCTCAACAACCCAAGCCAGCATACAACTAACTATTGATCCCAAAACCTTTGAACTTCAACCGAGTATCAAGGACAAGACCAGAAATCTCACAAATCATACAAAGAAACCCCAACTTAACAACCAAATCTGCACCACAAACCACACACAAACCACACACAACAAAGAGCAACATCAGCAAATTCATTCCCAAAACCTACCCTACCCAACAACCGAATCCCCCAATCCCAATCCGGTCTCTAATATAAATATACACCACGAGAAATATCTTTTATAAATCCAGTCCACCATAAATGAATGACCTTATACAGCCATACACCAACAATCCGAGCCGTAACCACAACTACAACCCAAGATAACCATGGAAACCCCATTAGTATACACTCCACTCGCCGAATCACACACGCACCCCACAGGCGCTGATCACATAGCCATACGACGTCTCCCGGGCCTACTCAAAAGTGGCATTACACCCATCACACCACCACCGTACGAGAATTATTACCGACATAAAGCTCATCAGGATTTGAAATGGTATCAGACTGAGAGATTTGGGGGTATGTATCGTATCTCCTTCCTTCATTCTTCTCAATTGTCAATCTCGGATGCGAAAAATGGGATTGAAGCAAGATAGATTTAATGAGATAAATAGGGTTCACTACACAAGAAATACATCTTCACGATGCATTTGCGCCATATTCGAGATTGAGAGCTTCGGGGAAATTAACCTGTCCCATTCATCCCATGCTTCAAAGATCGAAATGGAGACGACAGTTACCTGCTCAATTGGCTCGGTATCCACTTGGGAATGGGCGAGAAGGATATTGGGATGCTGTAAGATGAGGGATTCTCGAGGGTTGGGATGGATATACGCTGATAATATGAGATGATAGTGGGAGAATGATCGGGTTTGGAACATGATGGTACCAGCGTTACAATTGACAACGATGTTCTTGGCAAATTTATATACTTGGCCGTGGTAAGTAGAGCTTCGATGGTGAAGAGGAAACATGGCTGACCGTGGTAGGTTCGATGCGTTATTCTTTGGAGCGATGGAAGAGGTAGACGCCGTAGATTTACCGCCCGAACACCGCGGAAAGAGAGGGTATCGAAAGTTCAAACTACGACCGCCTTATATATCGGCGCAAGAAAACGAGCGAAGAAGGGTCCAAGCAATGCTCGAAAGATTTAGCGATGATGTGACGTTCGATCTATCCAGCGGGCATACCGATTCTCGATCCGGGTTGCCTGATGAGTTTGAGTTTGCAAATACCAGTGGAAGTCTAGATTTAGTGACGAAAAAAGGAATTAGTATTTCAATGGCTTTTGAGATATTAGAGCCGCTGTTCAATACAAAGATAACGGAAGCGGAATATATGATAGTTTTATATCGATTTGGGGGAACCTTAATGCATGAGCTTTGTGTGAGTTATGTTGCGCCAATAAATGCATGACAACTGGTCGATTTGGCGCTGACCGTAATAATAGCATGCTTTTTGGGATTGTCTGCGGAAATGGGGTGTACGAGCCGAGGGTGAGGATGTAATTGGGCAGGATTTAGAGCCCTGGTTCGAAGATGAGAGAACCTCCGAATTGTGTGTGCTCTGTACTTCGTTTAATCAATATTTGCTAATTCAAGATAGAGGCTTTTCAATGGAGAAGTTTGTAAGATTACTCGGTGTTCAAGCTTCGTTCTCATTACTCAGTCGGCTGATGATTTTGACAGGTATTCGGTGGTATCACTCAAGATTTCTTGAAGGAAGATAGCGTTCCATGCCGTGGCATTCCCCCAATGGGATTTTATCTGTAGGAGTTTGAACAAATGCGCCTCTCTTTCGCATTGGCTAATTGATACAGGGGCGAGTTTGATAAATGCATTACTGAACCATTAACTACGAGTCCCTTCATTCTCACCAGGAAACCACCAGACTATTTCAGCACTCATGTGTGGCCAATAACTTTGAATTATTTTATAGATATTCAAAATCAATCGTGGTGGAATTCATACAAAATGGCGTGGGTTATTGCTGAAAGGGTATAGAATATTCAGTTCACTAAAATCTAAACATAGGTTTGGAGCTAGAAGTACTCATGTCCCGAAACTATACGGGAAAAGAACCATCAATAGGCCGGATGGTCTACCTCCTGCACCACCTTCAGCCGGATTTGAAAATGTAGATACAGCTATAGACGCCATGATGATGCAAAGGGAACCCATGAATGATGTCATGAGGGGTGCATATTGGTTTCGCAACTCATATAAGCAGCGCACATATGAAATCCAAAACGCATTGATGGCACACGGGCATCGAGAAACTACTTATCCGATATCAGGCTGGCCACCAGAATCACATGGCGACTCAGATGACGATGATGAGGATGATGAGGATAGTGATGAAGAGGAAGAAGATAATGCTAATAAAGATGATGAAGATGATGAGGAAGTGCCACTTTGTCCTCGGTATGATGAGATCAAAAACTACTTGATCAGGCAGAGAAGAGAATTGGCTATTGATACATTGAAATTCAGAATGCCAGAACATCTCTTCTATGAATATATACGTAGAAACGGCGGGTTATATTTAAGTGCAGAAGAGTGGAGAGGATTTCTCTTGAACAGTACCGAGCGAAAGGAATTATTTCAGTAAGCCACCCAAAAATCTATGCCATAGACTTCCATGCTAACAGATTAGAATCCGCGACAAGAATGGAAGACCACCTACTCCATACCATGCGATTTTCCGTAGACTTAGTGCTGGCTGGCCAACGGGTTTACCAGCCGGCGCACCTCCAGTGAATGTGGCCGTATCCAAGATTCAGGAAGTATGCTTCTTCCATGCTACTGAAAATTATCTAGTAGAAAGAAAAGCCCCTTGGCATAGGACAGACTTCTGGGATGCCGATGTGGAAATATTTCGAGCCTTGTGTAACAACTGGCTGATAGAAAATCGCCGAGGTGCTCCTCTTGAAAAGGATGTTTTCGAGGCATGTATTCAAGCTGGAGTGCAGCCCCGATTTGTGTAAGTTCCGTGAAGCTTTTTTGTTTTGTTGGAATAGCGTGCTAATGGCTACAGTCATGGTCCCAGAGGTATTGTTCGCAGATTGCCTGAATCACCTCCGCAGCCGAAGCGACCCCAAAAAAGATCGGCTCAGGGTTCTCAATCGGGTCGGCCAGCAAAACATCGAGCTCATAGGTGAGGGTTTTGCTTTTGACCCGTCTGTTTTGAGATGACATTTGTTCTTACCAGCATGACCTTGACTTGATCTCGTCAAGAAACAAGAATCATGAGAGGATAGCCAAGATATACCCCGGAAAGCCAGCAGAAAGAAAGGCCAACGTCAAGGGTCATTCGCACCTTTGCAATACCTTGACGGATCCGCAAATCTTTGTATACACCTTTCTCGATAGGCCAATAGTTCGGATACACCCCCATGTCGTCCTTTCATTAGGAATAAAGGTGTGAGAGATCGCGTTCGCCTCCGGAGTATGATTTCGTGCCGCGTTCACATCTCAATTGGGTTGCTGGATTTGTTTGCGACAAAGGATGCGTAACATCTCGCATATATCTACACATTTTCGAATAGAGTAGTATTTAGTTATATTGTATTAGATAGTCTTTAATTGTATGTCTGAACACTTATGGAAAATTTGTTCATGGAGCATCACAAATTAAGGAGCACCGATGCTTTTGGGCAGAATTGTTTTGGGCAATAACGAAAGCGGTGGGGTGTTTTCTTGCGCTTACATAATCAATATATGATCATCACATTTCCTGTCAAGCCCATTTCCATTGAATAAGTAAGGAAATAAGGTCCGAATACATACTAATTCTCGTCTACAAAGGTCTCAAAACGATAAATCTTTTGAAAGATGAATAATCTTCACCGGTGGTCAATTAGCTATAGCCCCCCTCCTGCAAAGGACCCGGCTAGATATCATGGAGAGAATAATTAGGAGATGAGAGGGCTGGTGGCTGGAATGTCTTTTGGAGTTGGAGATGCTTTGGTATGGGCTGTAAAAATCCTAAATTTAATTCCTTAAAGCCTTTAGTCACAATATTGTTTGTTATAAAATGACACATTGAAGAAGCATGTTTGTGTGGATGCCAAAATATATTTGATTGTTAAATACAGTCATCGGTGTATTCATTCCAACAATTCCCAGAATCAGTCCGAATGTTTTATACACCTCCAACTCCCCCCCAAAGAACGATACACGAAAATAGACTTCTACATATTGTCCTCAATGGCTATGCTTGTAGCCAAAAGAAATGCCATCAACCCGTAGAAACCAAAATACACTAGTTTGAGAAAGTAACAGACACTTTCCCACCATTGTTGAACCCTTGACAACCACCTGATGGCTGACCACCAGCAAAACCAAATGTGGCACCAGTCTGACTTTCAGCCGCACAGTTGGCCAAGGAATAAGTACCAGCCTCGCCGCAGGTACTACCACTCTTACACGTGAACACACACTTCGACATATTGGAAGTGCAGCCACTGACTTGAATGGACATGGCATTTCCTCCCATGTTGACTTCGCGAGAAACATCTACGGTGGCATAGGCACCGGTGGTGAATTCACCCCAAGTATTGTGGACCTGGCCATACTGGCTCAATGTGGTCTGTCCACTGTAAAGACCAGCCCATCCACCGGATACCCCGTTTGCCATGGATATTGTGACGGTTTGACCAGCTTTCAATGAATATGAAACTTGGGGCCTTTTTGCGTTCATGAACGAGCTTTGATAATCTCCGGCTGCCTGGGTCCAGATGATCACAGTGACAGGTGTAGCTGCACCGTTGGTGAAAACAAATGTGTTGGGTCCCTGACTTCCGATCCAGACTCCACCATTGGCAGCTTTTGAGTTTGTTCCCATACCGGCCATCCCGATAGTCGACATGTGGGTGCAATCTGCGGCAGTAAGGCCGGCGACAGGGCTGGCACAAGAGAATCCACGCTTCTTAAGTGTGCTCGCACTGAACCATTATGTTAGTTGAAATAAAAAAGGGGGATATATACGATGGTACTAACCCTGGAATCGAGGGGGCAGCTAGTGCAAGGGAGAGCAAGCTCATCCCCGCGACGATACTCGAAGTAGAAAAGAACATTTTGGTATAGTTAATGATTTTTGCTGGTATGTAATTGTGTGATTTGAAAGGCTGTGGAAAGGAATGATTTGCTATATAAACTATAAACTGGTATAGAAAGTTGTGACTGAGAACAGTACTAAAATGAGTGACGAAAACGAGTGAAAAAAAATGAGTGACAAAGGGTTGAATGCAGAGATTGTGAAGATATCCGAGTAATGTTTTGAAAAGATCCAGACTCAGTCACGCAAAGCTGCCAGTGGCTGCTTAAGTATATTACTCGAAATCATCCATGAGGCGCTGCTGATGACTGGAATGTTGACCCTGGGAACAGGAATGCAATCTCCAACAACAAACATAATAAAAATATTCCTAAAGTACGTAGGATAAAAGGTATAATACTACACCAAGTTTTGCGAAAACGACTTCGTTCCTGTCAAACTTTTATTATAAGACCAGTCAAGCCTATTACCTGATGTGATGTTCATTTCAGATGTTACATTATCAAGAGCCCCAAAATGCTATTTCCGGCACGTGCATACAAAGGGGGAGCTTCAAGCGAGATCGTTTTGAATTGTTTGGTTGAATCGGGCAATTGTGTGAAAAAACTGATGTCGTAAGGATTCGGGATGAGGAGAGCCCATGTCAGAATCAATGAAATAATCCAATTTCCCGACATCCTAATCGCAGGCTGTGTGCTTGCACGAAACAACCGGACATCACGACTTCCGAAACCGAATAAAATGTTACGCTGGACCTAGCATTTTATAACAAATGTCAGCGAGGTAGAAGAGCAATATCAAGGTTATATATATCTTGTAGGATGAAACATTGAAACATTTATTGATAATGGCTGCTTCCAGAATTGTTTGAACAAGCCGTCTTGTGGCGGTCATGAAAATTTCCTATTCATGAGGCATGATAGGATGGAAAATTTCGAAATTTGTCGCATCTTTTCAAAATCTCTGCTCGCCAGCCCCTCGATTTTGACCTCACGGCGGGGTGCGTTTCAAGGACACGTATGCCGTTGAAACAGCTGCTTGCGTCACAAAATGGTTCACTCTATCCAGAGTTGCAACTTCGGATCAAATGGAATGTGTGGTGGCTCGGCGAAAAATAAGATTATGAAGCTGACTCGCCAAGTTGAACAATGCCAGCTTGCTGAGGTTGTTGACGTTGACAACTGCTGGCCCGTGCACATCCACATTTCCTATCATATTATGTCTGTTCACGTGATAATATGGAAAATGTTTGCGATCCTTACGATCCTCTGAAACGACTGCCATCAAGTATCAAACTGCTTGGGCTTTGAATTGAAACTTCCAGAGACTTCTTTTTCGCTGATCGTTGGGCCTGGCCATTCTTGAAATCCAGTCGATCATGTGACGAGTTACCGTGAAGTCAATTTCTATCTGCAGCTTCATAATGCATGGAAGGTCGATATGTGTCAAAGTAGCAATAATTTCAAGATTCCAGAAGAATCGTAATCTACGTGTATTCTTGAATCCTAAGTATAGGGATGGAAATGCATACGAGTATGCCAAGTTTATGGCAAGAAACTTCTCATATCATTATCTTACCTTTCTTCACGTACATCCCTCACTTACCCACCCTAGTTGGTTTATCAATGCCTGCGCATTCGCCTGTACTACCTTTCCTTCCCTAGCCCAGGACTCGATAGCTTTAATGCCATGTTCCATTAGCTGGGCCAAATCTCCCACTTTCAGGTAATGGAAGCCATGGAAGACCATTTCCATCTGCTGTGTTGATATAGACCGTATTACCTGCATATTCGAAAATCAGTCGATGTTTCTTTTTACAACAGTTGTTCGAAATAACCAAAATAAACTTACCCCACCAATCCGGAAATCGAGCTCCAGGATATGTGATGCAGAAGAATATCACAATTGCCGAAAGTGCAAGACCCGTATCCAGCGCAGCTGCTAAGACGTAATTATATTTGGCTTTCATCTGTCAGTATGAGTTTCTTCGAGCGGGCAGATTCATACTCACACCACCACGCGAACCATTTCGCTTTAATCCACCAATTAAAGGTTAAATTAACCAACGCCCAACTACTATAGTTGATTCCCGTAGCAGGTGGCACATTATAAGTTCCAACGAAGATTAGTGGCCAGTTGATAAGTCGTATCCATGCTCTTTCTTCCCCGGTGCTCTTTCTCCAGTATTTCCATATAAACCAAGTAGTAATCGGCATAAGTGCACCAATCCAAAAGAAGTGCAAGAGACCGGAATAAATCTTGCCGATAGAATAAACTCGTCCAGGGCCAATTGCACCCCAGATGACAGAGGAAGAAAAGGTTGTACGGCCATTGGGACATGTGAAGCCGTTTGATTGATCTTCTGAGCAGATGTCTTCAACGTTACTGAGCATCCAGAGAGTTACACCGACTTGGGTAAGAGCCCCAAGAATCTAGATTAAGGTGGTTACCATATAGTCTACATTTGTGCATATGTGGATTAACTTACAGTGGCGCTTCCTTGCGCGAAAAACAGGATTCGAGGTGGTATTTTCATGTAATGGCCTAGCTTCATGTCTTGGGCAAAGTACAGGCCTTGACCCACTACATCGGTAGAGATGACCTTGAAAATAATGTCTGTGGTTGGTAAGTCACATCGTCTCTTGCAAAAAATCGAGAAAATTACATACTCGCTAATGGTCGCCCGGTAAACATGTATCCGCCGACGAATTCGGCGAGAACATTCAGTTGATTAGCGTTCACGTTTGTTATCCCCTGAATAATACCGCAGGGAATCATGTAAAATGCCGGTATCACTGCTGCCAGCAAGACGGCCCACCATGGTAAAGTCGTGTCATAAACTTCGACCATAACAATACCTAATATGACTATTATAACCGTGAGACATCCATACCAATACCAAGGGGTTCTAGGATAGAGGCGCATCAAGCGAGCATGAATATCCAGTTTGGTACGACCTGCAAATGCATCAAGAATCTGAGTTCCATGCCAGAGGTAGATATGAACGGGAACAGCGGTAATAGCAGCAAAAGATATACCGTACACGAATGCGAAAGTTGCGGGAAGAAACGGAGGTGAATATTCAGCATATGCAGTTGTATTCAGAGTGTTAGCTGGAGTCATGACCCGAGTGACGTTATAGACGGATGCGGTGTTATCATAAACATCAGCTGTGCACAGCGGAAGATAGGCTGTATACCAAACATTTGAATAACTGTGGATATGAGAGTCAGCTTCAGGAAGGATTGAAAGTGATTTTCTTGAACCTACTAAAGACCGGGAGTGACAATCCAGAAGAAAATTATAAAGCCACCAAACACGTTCATCGCTGTGAGATGTTATTAGTTATTTCAATAAATTGCATGATGTATAGATAAAACCAACCGGCCCATGCTGGAGAAAGGAGAGGATTCGTGTTATATGCGACCTGTGACCAATCAAAAGTGATAGGACTCAATCCAAGACCTGTAACCATTCCGAATAGATGATTTACGATGAGATTATTTGGGGCAATCCAGCAGACCCATGAAAAGTAAGAAAGTCCCACAAAGATCAATCCAGGGAAAAAGTACCAAACTCCCGCTCCAACCATAACATACATGAAGAATCGTAGTCGACTAATTTTCCAACCATTGGCAATAGCATTTGCTCGAGAATGTAAAGTAGAAAGTAAAGCACAATTAGATAGCACTCCTGGCCAGATTATAGAGGCAGGCTCTACCAACCAAGGGGACGATAGCCCAGCGACTCCAAAGCCCATCATCTGACAACAAAGGACAATCAGAACCGAGAAACCGGGCTTCAACTCGAAGTTGTAAAATACTTTTGCGGCTTGAATGATACTCGTCGAGTCTGCGCTTCCATACCCAAAACTGACATTGCTCATGATGGTAATTACAGTATGCTCCTTGATGTTGAAATGTCGGTCGGGATTAATACACCATTTGCCTAGAGGTCCTAGGTTGAGAGTATAAAGGGGTAAAGTCTTTGCTAAAAGTATGCCGAAAGGCATTGCGAGAAGTTCGGCAACTAGTGCGATAATGTGAACTGACGGATAACGAAGACTGAAGAATTGATTGATGCCAGAGCCGATCATAGTGAAAGCGAAACCTAAAATCCACATCCTAAGGGTGTTGACAGGAATATCTTGATCGTCAACGTCCGGAACTACAGCTCTGACTGAGAGGCCATTAGTTTTACTACCATGTTAAATTCAGGGTTGTGTATGAACCTTCAGGATATGGAGATGTATCGCCTTCTATACCATCCAATCCATCATCATTGAGTATTTTCCCAACGTCGACCTCCAATTCTTGCATATGTGGTGTTCCCACTTTGATCTCTGCATCTTGGTCCTTGCCATTCTTCTCATTTAAGTCATTCCTTGCGTTTTCTGATATTCCTGATGACATTCTGAGAATATCAGAGTGCGATTTATGAGTGTATTGTAGGGAATAGCAAAATGAGGATATGTCTCGGTATTTTAAAGCCAGTAGTCCTAGACCAACAGTAATCAATATTGCGGCCAAAGTCAGATAACGATACTTCATTACCCATCAACCAACAATATCTCGCTGACTTTCATTACTGTTGATTCGATAAAGACTTTCATATTGAGATAAAGACAATCTGGATTGGAGTGGTGGGTACACGGCTGTCCATTTGCCGCGGGGTACTTCATGCATGGGATTTGTCAAGGAAACATTGCATATTTGCTGTACGATAAGAACTACCTAATACACCTTCCTCGTTGGTATACACACATCCTGAATATCATAGCTGGGTAAATCAGAGCAGGATACATGTCCAATGATTTTGACTCGCGACCGAATTTTGTGAGATGTATATAGTCAATCTTGTCTGCCAGTCGACACGATGGCGCAGCTTTGGATATTCATTTCAACGAGTAGAAAGTCCTTGACTTTATAAATACGAATAAATTAATACTCAATGAACAAAGAAATATAAAGGAGCTACGCAGATAGCGAGCTCACGAAGGTTGTACTTCCCAAGAATGAATATATGGTGTAAATTAAACCAACCTTTGGAAACCAAATTGGGAGAATGCGGCGCGGTCGTCTTACACCGTCTTCTAC